GACAGAGAGAGACAGACAGAGACAGACAGAGACAGACAGAGACAGACAGAGACAGACAGAGACAGACAGAGACAGACAGAGACAGACAGACAGAGACAGACAGAAACAGGCAGAAACAGACAGACAGACAGAGAGAGAGTGAGAGAGAGAGACAGACAGACAGACAGAGACAGACAGAAACAGAGAGAGAGACAGAGACAAAGAGAGACAGAGACAGAGAGAGACAGAGTCAGAGACAGAGAGAGTCAGAGGGAGAGAAACAGAGAGAGAGAGACACACAGACAGAGACAGAGAATGTACCCTATGCCATTCACCCAGCAAAGTTGGGATAGGCTAGCTCCAAGAATCTGGCCTCTAACCATAGCTAGACAGACAGACACACATTCTCTCTTACATCTATACAGCAGACGGACTAGGAGCGGCATACTAGGCAGTGCCCGAGATGGGCTGCCTCTCCTCCACCCCTCTCTTTCTCTTCCCCCATCTCCTCCTTCCCCCTCCCTTTTCCTCCATCTATCTACCCTTACCAACCCTCTCCTCTCTTTCCCCTATCTTCCCTGTCTGGCCTCTAACCACGAATAGACATTTTCATTTATATGTTTATGGAATGGATACCTGGATGCACCAAAGTCTCTTCTCTCTCTTCGCACCACATCCTCCTCCTCTCTCCCTAATTCCCTCCTTCTCGCAGAAAACCTATTAAGTAGCACTGATACAACTGTATGGGTCTCTCAGAAAAGATATTATGGAAAATTAAAACTCTGGGGGGAACACACCAAATCTTTGACACTTGACCGTGAAAATTGCAAGAGGAGTTCCATAAATGCTAATATTTCTTAAAGTGTTTAACTTAGCCTGACCTCGACCAGCCTATGTTCATCCTGAACCCCTGACGTTTCCCCCTGCAAAGTTCAGCAAGGCGAACCCCAAACATCTGGCCTCCAACCTTGGCCTTACAGATGAACTAACTCTCGCTTAAAGATATAGATGGCCGCAGAGCCATTTGTACAGCCAAATGTGATATAGTTAGAAATCCTACATCTCTCCCATTGTTGTCGACAGCCTTTTCCCTTCATATCATGGAAGAAAATCTTTAAGATTGCAAGTAAATTTTTTCCCAGACATGGCACCTGTCCTTTATCTCCATGTTGTTGAGGATCCGGAGTTGGTCACAGAAGAACTGGGTTCACACTTTTCAGTTGCTAGCTCTGGTACTCGTCTTCCTCCTCCTTTCCTTATTCATAAGTCTCTTAATGAATCTTTTCCTTTAGACTTCCGCATTCCAGCTCCCCTATAATGACCCCTTTTTAATCTTTCTGAACTGGCTGGAAGTGGAGGTCATATCCCGATCGTCGATATAAGTTAGCATATATAAGTTACGTGTTCCCGTTGTCGTCCCGTAGATACTTATGGTGTAATTTAGGAATTGTTTGTAATTCTGAGTATGAATTTAGTCTTTATTTTATAATGTAACGCCCCTTTTGGTGTCTGTACATAAGCAATTTTCACATATAGTACCTGTGGATTTATCATTCACATTATAATACAAAATAATTACCTCTAATAAAGACTAAGAATATACATATCATTTAACAAGGGTAATGTGAGACACCATCAGGACCTATAATAAAACAATAAAATAAACGATCATTTAGCAATATACAGAACTTTTGCTGAGGTTATGAGACAACATCTTCCAGCACCTGCGCTGAGGCCGCATGAAAGACAGCATCAACTTCCAGAAACGTTTGGATCGTATCATTCTAGAGATGCTGGTCAGTTTGAGAAAGAAAAAAATTACTGCCTTCCCTGTTAATAAGGGCAAAGTAAAACAAATGTATTGTATTTTCAATATTTTCAGGAGCAATGGTACGACTTATATATCTGAGAGGTGAGACGAGAAGCCCTTTTGTCTCAGCCAGTCTACGATGGTGTCCCTGTTGGTCTCCCGCCAGGCTACGTTGATCCTTGTCGCCTCCAGCGCCTGCGTCGTCGCTCGCTCTGCTGTCAGCAGCCGACCCCTGTTCACCCACTCGAACTCTTCCAGCTGCAGGAGGGACAAGGGGAAGGGGGGTGTTAGTGACCAATCAGCTGCAGGAGGTGCAAGGGAGTGTGTTAGTGACCTACGAATTGATATATTGATTATTGCCGCCGGATGCTGCTAGTTTATTGCACACCCTCATACTCATCCTGTGAGCGGTAGCGCAAAAAGGATTACAGAGGTCTTTAATCGAAAGGTCTTTATAAGACCTCAACGGAGATTATTACGTTAAGAATCAAATCTATCCTGCACACCTTATAATTATACTGTCAGATAGCTATTGAAAGGGAATAATCTGTAACTATTTTTTTACAGTTAATTATTATAAATTAATGGTAGGTCTTTTCGCTAATACATAGTTGTCTTGAGGTATGGAGATATTACAGGGTCATAGGGAAATAATAACTAACAATAATAATAATAATAATAATAATAGGACTAATTATAACATGTTATTATTAGTCTTCACAATACTGTACAGTGCTGCAGTGTAGTGCAGTATCATCCACCTCTGGAAGTGGATGATAAACTTGATAATTATAGTTTATTTGACATGTGAAAGTGATAAGGAAGGTAATCCGCATTTCATGTTCTTAGATCTAATTACCTGATCAGAAAGCAGCAACGATTGCTGGGCATCTATTGAGCTGTCTCAATTATCATGATTTTGATGACATTTGAAACAGAACTTTGTAGCATTTGCTAGTGATGAGGCCAGTGTCATGCTTGGTGTCAAATCTGATGTTACAACCATTCTCAAGGAACATTACCTTGATATAATAATCTGGCACTGTCTTAATCACTGATTGGAACTTGCAGTAGGTGATTCAATGAGAAAAGTTCACGGAATTAATCACTTTCAAGCATTTATGGACAAATTGTTCTCCTACATTCTTGTACAGCCACTAGCACGCATAGCGTTTCGGGCGAGTCTACTCAGTTTACAGTAGATCGCCTCTACATCAAAAGGAACTATCTGAATGTGCCTCACAACTTTAACATAGTTGCAAAATAGGCCGTGTTATAAGCACCAGGTGGGCGGGCAGCGTGTTTCGAACAGTTTCAGCAGTGTGAAAAAAAATTATGAAGCACTTTGTTTTCATTCTGAAAAAAACAGTGAAAGATGAAACAAGATTTGGAAGTGATAGAAAACCCAATGAAGGTCTGTTGAAAAAAAAGCTAACTTCAGAACAGTTTCTATTGGATTTAGCTCTAATGTATGACACATTGCATGAACTTTGTTTACTGTCAGTGTCTACAGAAACACACTACTGTACTTCCATTGTGCATGCAGACAAACCGATTCAACGGACCATAAGGTCATTGCATGGAATTGAAGAGACACCTGGCACTAGAACTTTAAAAGCTCAAAAGACAATTGAAAAGGAGAAATTTGGAGGAATTACCGTAACAAGCAACAAGAAAGTTGTCTCCATTAATTATTAACAGTTTCTTACAAGTCTTGTGAACAAGTTGCAGCACCGTATGTTCACGACATCATCCACGAAGGGTTCTCAAACTTCTGAACCTCAAAGTATGTATAAATCACTGCTAAGTGAAATGTGTGTCCTTGACAAGGACTACTGGCCTCATTAACTACCACCTTATTACGGAGAAGCTGAAATAGTCTCTCTAAGAGGTTTAAGCTTTCTTCTTACTCAGCACTAAATACCATTAGAGACTATGTGGAGGAGCATGAACACCGCATCCTCCAAGATTTACACACATTACTGAGCTGTTTACAAAGTATTGATATTAGTACTGTTGAGTGTGAGATGGGATTCAGTCACATGAACCTGATAATAACACGCTCAAGAATTCTCTTAAATCATGTATCAGCGCTTGTGTGTTAAACTACATGGACCTCCTCTAGTTCAGTGGAATCCTGAGCTATATACCATATTATGGCTGCGGTGCCACAGATCAGCAGATGACACCACGACAAGAGTTGCTTCACACCCCCAAAAACATCTCATACCTCACCCTTTGTGGAAACTATTGTGAAACTTCTCACTGGTCGTAGTTTGTGTGCACTATGTGTTTTAACTTCTTAAATTGATAATTATATTTTTTTCTTTATTTGATAATTATATTTTATGATAATTAGCGAGTATAAACACGAAATACTTAATCGTGTGACATATATAGAAAAATTATAGGAAATGACAGGCTTTTGTCAGGCCCACCAGAGCTCCCCCTGTGTCAATACACTACTTTCCTCTTAATCTCATATGTTGTTTATCTACTGGAAACAGTGGATAGAGTGCAAGGATTTCACATATTTTACCCTTAGTAATAAGATGGTTTGCCATTTTATACAACGCTGGAATGGTGTTCGCCAGACTGCCTACCCTATCCTCTAGCCTCTCCACTATCCTGCCTACCACGAAGACGCCACCTTACCTCGTGGAGGAGTTGCGGTGTGTTGAAGGATCTGGTTACAGCCTCTACCATCTTGGGAAGGGCGAAGAAGGTATTGCCGATACTGGGGAAATGAGAGATGGGCGATAAACGATAGACGAATATTATAAGAACGTAAACATGTAAATACAATTCAGAAGGTTTGCTGGCCCGAGCGGGGAAGCTCCTATCTATAGCTTTTACACTCAAAATATTTACATATTATGATGTAAACTTTACAGTGAGTTTATGTTTAAGATGCTACTCGATAAACTCTAACTCGCAGCTGTAAATATTTCCAAAGCATCTTTTGCATTACACACCCAACCCACACATTTGGAAATAATGGAAGTCACGACGTTTCGGTCCGCTCCGGACCATCAGAATTTAGATAATGGTCCAGGACAGACCGAAACGTTAGCATTTACATTACGCGAGTTATGCAGTACACGAATGTGATTCGAATGCAGGAAAAAACTAGAGGAAACTTTGGATTCATGGAAACTTTGAGCATAGTTTTCAGTCATGCACCCTGATCTTATCAACAAAGCAGCAGCCTGTCCTCATCAACAATGCCAGAAGTCTTATGAATGAAAAACACTTTAGACAAGGCCGCATCCTGTCCTCAGGCCAGGCTCGTTAAAGCGGCGCCCCCCTCCCCCCGCCGCTTTATTTAAAATTTTAATTAAAATTTCGTAATAACACTCACTAGTCTGTGATATTTTGCCAGTTTGCTCTCATGTAGTCCCAGGCGACCAGGGTGCCCACTCCGTCGCTAGCAACGCTCATGAAGGTGTTGGCAGCGTCCTGACGCCTGATACTCGACGTGGCATTGAACGCCCCCTCCAGATACCTGTCCGGAAGGAAGGAATTATCAGGAGAAGCGCCAAGGCATTACGCACGCACTTCCTATAGCACTAGGAAGAACGTCTTCTATTGGACGACGTTGGACTTAACGGTATGATAACCTGTTGTCTTATTCACCATGTGTGTGAGGCACTCGGCTGGTACACTCATCCTGTTTGTACACCTTACCCTTTGGTAGGTCATGCAGTACACCCTGGTGTGGGTCATGCAGTAAACCCGGGTGTAGGTCATGCAGTACACCCTGGTGTAGGTCATGCAGTACACCCTGGTGTGGGTCATGCAGTACACCCTGGTGTGGGTCATGCAGTACACCCTGGTGTAGGTCATGCAGTACACCCTGGTGTAGGTCATGCAGTACACCCTGGTGTGGGTCATGCAGTACACCCTGGTGTGGGTCATGCAGTACACCCTGGTGTGGGTCATGCAGTACACCCTGGTGTAGGTCATGCAGTGCCCCCCCACCCCACCCCCCGGACACCCTCGTCGATGCATCATGAAATCACAATAGCCTGATATATACGAGAATAAATATTTTACTGCTGCTACTTATATTTTACCACATTCAACGTTGCTTTAATTACTACCATTTTTATTACCCCCTTTTATTATTACCTCTTTTTTTATTACAAGAGCTTTATTGCCGCTTTTAAGACTCATAACTGGTGTGAGGAGCGGTAGCATTATAAGACAAAGGTCAGTACAGTAAGGTCAGACGGTATTCTAATTCCTTTTACAGGTAGATTTTGAACTCCTAACAGAGGAGCTGCAAATGCACCGACCTCAACAGCAGCCAGATCTCGGTGGTGCAGGAGAGGGCGTCTTTCAGCTCAGGCACGGGCTTGGTTCTGGAGTACCTCCAGGCGAAGTTCCACTCCAGTTCTCCGCCCTCCTTGAGAGCCGTGCAGTAGACGGTCGCGGCCACGTTGGCAGAGATCCCTCTGGAAGACAAGCACACAACGCAATACTCGACGCCTCTGTCATCAGTATATCACAAACATATCTTATTTGCCCCTGTACGAAGCGCATATATGCAGGCGACGAGTCACAATAACGTGGCTAAAGTATGTTGACCAGACCACACACTAGAAGGTGAAGGGACGACGACGTTTCGGTCCGTCCTGGACCATTCTCAAGTCGATTGGAACGAAGCGCATATATGTTTGATATTTTGTAGTTCTTTTTTATCATTCATTTAATGAAAATGATTTTCAACCGATTTTTAGGGCATTACATGTGATTTTAGGTGTGTAAATGCAGTGGAGACAGTACTCAGGTGTTGGTGGCCAGAATCAGGCGTCCTATCAGCCGGCAAATAAGGTAATACAATTTCTGATACGAGGATTTTAAGTGTATGCTTTTGATAATAAGTGAAAATTAGACCATGTTAAGTGTTGTTTTTTATTAAGAGGTCTAAGTGCTCTGGCACGAATATTTCTATGCTGGCTGTTTAGGATCTGTTGATGTGCTGACTTTTGGTATTGTAAAAAACAAAGCTCTTCGAAATTATATGATGCACGAAACTTCTATACTATAAAAGAGAATGTCTGAACTCGCCTAACTGTGCTTGCGAGGGGTTGAGCTTCGGCTCTTTGCTCCCGCCTCTCAACTGTCAATCTACTGGTGCACAGGTTCCTGAGATTATTGAGCTCTATCATATCTACAATTGAAATTGTATGAAGTCAGCCTCCACCACATCACTTCCTAGTGCAATCCATTTATTAACTACTCTAACACTGAGAAAGTTCTTTCTAATGTCTCTGTGGCTCATTTGAGTACATTTGGGTTGCATGGTTACCCGTCCAAAGTTGGAGGCCAGACACTTGGCGCTAGCCTCATTTAACTTTGCAGGGGGAATGGTCTGGGGTACCGAATGGACATAGGCCTATCCAGACCATCCCAAGTTAAATGCTTTAGAAAATATTAGCATTTATAGATATACACACTTGACTCCATGAAAATTGCACGATATTTGGTATGATTCCCATGGAGTTTTAGTGATCATAATATATTTTCGGAGAGCCCCATATTGTTTCAATGCTTCTTAATAATAAATTTTTCCGAGAGAAGAGGCGGTAAGAGAATGGGGATGGAAAAAGAGGATAGGAGGGAGAGAAGGGGAGGGACCATAGGAATGAGGACGAGGAGGGGGATCAAGGAGTGGGGCGAGGTTGTGAAGAATGGGTGGATAAGAGGGGAAAAGGAAAGAGAAGAAGGGGGGGGAGGGTGAAGGTGAGAACGAGAGAGAAGGGGCAGAAAAAGGAGATAGGGAAGAGGGGAAGATAAGAAGGGAGGAATGGGGTGGTGGAGGGAGAGAGAATCTCTGGCATCACCAGGTACCCCTCTAGTATAAAATATGCAAAAATGCATTAAAATATATAATAACAATGTCATCAGGAAGGAAGTTTAGAAGTTTTTTGTTAAGCTTCAGGCTTCTGTTTAGGCTTCTCCATATCGACTTGTCAATGTTGGTTAGCATTGTAAATGTGTGGCAACGTCCGTGGTAGGAAAAAATGCTGAATTTAAATTTGTCGAGCTTAGTCATTTTTCTTCATTTATGTTCCCATCTGCATGAATTTTTTGGATTTAGCTCCAAAACAAAGTGTTTGATGCTAAAACATAGAAACAAGCATAACATTCAAAATATTACCTGTACATCAGAGCCCAGTCACAAAGAAAACACATTTTACACTACGATTCAGCTTATTACACAGGCTTCTTACTTGAAAGTTTCTGGGTTGGCCATCCAGCTCCTGAAGAGATTCAGGGACTTGATGCGACAGTCAGGATGACCGAGGTAGCAGGCCCAGGTCAGCACGCTGGACCTCAGCAGCATGATGGGCAGGTCCTCCCCAGGGACCTCCTCGAACCCCAACCTCTCGTACGCCGGCAGGACGACCGACATAAGGTAGTCCTGTCAGCAGCGAGATAATGTAAGTAATGCTCATTACAATGACCTTTCACATCGCGAGAACGAACAAAACAGAGTTAATCTAAACTGATTCATTGGAAAAATATATTCATACACTGAAATGGCTATGGTCCATTTACTTATAAAGTTTGTACTGAGTGTAACGCTGCAAAATTAGTTCTCTTCCGACGAAATTGATGTTAAAATTAATATTTCTTATTATTTGAATTCCCAGTGAATTCAGCAGAGTTGCAGGTTGATAGGCTTCTGTCTTATCGTGGCTGAGTGGATACGGCATGTGTCTGGGAATCACCAGAACGCCGGTTCAAGTCGCCTCATTGCCCCAAAATAGTCAAGCCGAGGCTGTAAGAACCCGTGAAGACATTGTCATGCTGTGGCTGTAAGAACCCGTTAAGACAATGTCATGCTGTGGCTGTAAGAACCCGTAAAGACAATGTCATGCTGTGGCTGTAAGAACCCGTAAAGACAATGTCATGCTGTGGCTGTAAGAACCCGTAAAGACATTGTCATGCTGTGGCTGTAAGAACCCGTGAAGACATTGTCATGCTGTGGCTGTAAGAACCCGTGAAGACATTGTCATGCTGTGGCTGTAAGAATTCGTGAAGACATTTGTCATGCTGTGGATGTAAGAACCCGTGAAGACATTGTCATGCTGTGGATGTAAGAACCCGTGAAGACAAAGTCAGGCCGAGGCTGTAAGTTCCTTCCAGCCCTAGTGTGGGCTACCCTATAAGGCTATATCACTGCACACATTTGACTCCGTATTCACTCAGGAGAAGCAAAATGAGGAGCCGCATATAAAATTCAACGCTTATACAGGTCAAGTTATCAGCGAAGTAATGCTAAAATAAGTTTTCCTAATGCAAATGTTATACTTAATCTTTGCCGTAAAAGAGACAGACAATTCACACTGTTGATGACATTTGTTGTTTATCTATCTTATGTATTATCCTTCTCATACTTTAAGCTGTGATCACTATGAATATTTGTCGGTCTTTGATCCAGTTAGATTTAGCGTGTTAAATTGTCACTACATAACAGTAATAGATAAATAACAAAACAATTGCTCGACATTGCAAATAAACTAATTTAAGGAGTCATTGCCATTCTATGTTACTGTTATTGTTTTTGGCATTGTTGGTGTTACCAGTGATATTATTGTTGCTATTTGGGAGAGATTAGCTAGCTGGAGACATACCCTGAGGGCGCCGTAAGACGGGTCCCGGGAGAACATGTGGAAGAGGTACTTGAAGTTGAAGAAGGCTGCTTCCCAAGGCACACGCTCCTCCTCCTGGCCCAGGTACGCGATCGTTGCCAGAGCCGTTTTGTAGGACAGGCGACCTGAAGCAGGAGACTACTGTACACACTATGCGCAAATGAGCGGCAGTATGAGTGAGGCATCCCACTTGCTGAGTTTTCTATAGTAAGGGGTTAACTGTGTCAGCGTTCCGTACGTTTTCTGTGGTCATTGGAGTGGCGTTGACTATTGGTGACAGAGGAGGGACTATGGAGGATGTATTGTTAGGCTGAATTTGTAGAAGAATTTGAATTATGGGATTAGCAGTGATTAGTCATAAAAGTGATGGTGGGATGGAGATGATTGGAAGTGCATTGAAAGATAGGAGTATTGGGAGGCTTTTCAACATATTTGAATTATTGAAGGAATAAGAATTTGGTCCTCCTTGTATATACTACCTATAATCATAGCTACCTATGTGCTTTAATATACTGTACCTATAATTTTCTCTCATCTTTTTTTTCATTCCATGTAATCTGTTATCATTTTTTTCTCTATAAATTTTGCAAGTATTTACCTCCTTAAAATTTTCTTAGATTAAGGACCTGCCCGAAACGCTGCGCGTGCTAGTGGCTTTACAAGACTGTAATTACCATATTTGTATCCTCACATTCCCTATGTACATTCTTGTATATGCATAAATAAATAAATAAATAAATAAAATAAATACGTTACATAGAAATTGCCCCGTAAGTAACTCATATAACTATCTACGGGCTCACCATAGCCCGTGTTACTTGGAACTTTTTGTTCCAGGTAGCGAATCTTTAACAACAACAACAGTAACTCATGAACTATTGATGAAATATCTGGTTATATCCAAAAGGTAACTGCATAGACGTTACCCGAGTTACGCGAGTCCGGTTACATACCTGCCCTGGCGAGGTTGAAGGCATCGTCGATGATCTGGGCTCTGTTGGTGACGTGTATGACGCGGTGATCCTCCTGCAGCTGCTGAATTAGGAGCTCCCAGTTGGCCTGGTCGTAGTTGACGCGGTAGTAGCCTGTGGAATGGTAAGTTATGATATTGAGAGATATGCTAAGACGCCGGGAGTAAAGTGAGGATCACTGTTTCGCTCCCGGGGAACAGAAAATGGGGTCGGGTGCGCTCAAAAGATGTTGACATCTTCACACTTCCCTTCCTAAATGAATTGGGGTCGGGTGCATTCAACAGATGGCGTCACAGTAACAAGTCTCAAGAATTTTGTCATCACTCCGGTGTCAGGATAAAGATGCGGTGTTTTCCAGAGTATACATACTCTGATTCCAGAGTATGTATATATAGACCCAAAGGTGACTGAACTTTGTAAGAATCAATCAAGGTTAATAAAGAAACCTGATGAAATTGTATGGATGGAAAAGATTAAGTAATAACCGCAAATAAAATAAGGCAGATCAAGTTTTATTCTAATAATATCCAATGACCTTAATAATGGATTTACTGATTTTTTATGCTAAAGCTCGGTTGTTATAACAGGAAAGGTAGAAGTGTCTAAATATAAAAGGGGATAAATTTCTTTCATCTGTTCTGAAGTTGACTGTTCCTATGACCGAGCCCGTCAATTGCCTCTTACGTCAATAGTTGTACGATGGTTCTCATCGTTGCTAACAGTACTATCTTTATAGGAGGATGGGTTGTCAAAATTTTATACTTTAAATATTTTGTAATCATTACAGATTTAAGTAGTAATAAATAATTATAATTTACATGCAAGCAACGAAAAGTCTATTGGGAAACATGAGCCTATAAGCAGGCGATGAGTCACAATAACGTGGCTGAAATATGTTGACCAAACCACACACTAGAAAGTGAAGGGACGACGACGTTTCGGTCCATCCTGGACCATTCTCACAATCGAGTTGAGAATGGTCCAAGATGGACTGAAACGTCATCGTCCCTTCACTTTCTAGTGTGTGTGTTTTGGTCAGCACGCGCTTATAACCGTCACTCCACAGCCCTGAGCACCTCTGGAGGTGTGTTACGGGATCACCATAGCCCGTAACACATGGAAACTTTGTTCCGAGTAGCTGAACAACAACAACAACAACAACAACTCTCGAGGTTGCCGTCTGAGAACTCATGCCTGTCTGAACAAATCCACAAGGGCCGTGACGAGGATTCGAACCTGCGTTCGGGAGCATCCCAGACACTGCCTTAATCGACTGAGCTACGACAGGGTAAAAAGGTTAAAAAACCACTATAAACCCCTTTTACCCTGTCGTAGCTCAGTCGATTAAGGCAGTGTCTGGGATGCTCCCGGACGCAGGTTCGAATCCTCGTCACGGCCCTTGTGGATTTGTTCATTTGATGCATCACGTTATTGTGATCTCTATGTGTAACATACCTGTCTGCTTGACATTGAAGATAACCCAGTAGTGCGGCTCAGGGACGCTGATGTGTTGTGACACGGGCTCAGTACCATCCCCACTGAGCCACAACCTGACGCTGGTGTCATTGAACTCTGGCCTCATCTGCGTGGTAGAGGTCACGGGGATCCACCACTTGCGGGCCGTCGTGCTGCCCTCCGTCGCCGCGGTCTTGTCCAGCACGAAGTACTCCTGAGTGACGACGGCAGAAGTCGCACTGACCCTCGAGACGGTGACGACGGGGAAGCCTTTCTGTAGCGTCCAGGTATCCATGATGGTCTTGACGGTCAGATCGTGCAGCAGCGTCTCTTCCTTGTGCGCCGCCTCCGTCAGATGAAGCCACAGGTCGTCCTGGTCCGCGTTCTTGTACATCCTGGACGGAAAGAAATATCACCCTAAGAAGAGCAATGTAATCACGAGGAGAGTGCTAAGCCACCACCACTATACACCACTGGAACCGGATATGGGGGACAGGGAAGGTGAAGACGTGGGAGGAGGATTCATAGCATTATTGTCTTAAAGTAAAAATTTTTATTAAACTGATTTTCTGCTTTCTACCTTTCAATGTCGCGTTAATAATAAAAGTACAATCGGTAATATAAATGGAAAAAATTATAAATAATAAGTATAAAACTAAAAATCAAATTAATACAAATTCTTAAAAAAAATACATCGAAATAAATAGAAACAAATCAATCAATACTAATGAAATAATATAAAAATCTACGACAAAAATCAATTAAAAACAACAAAGCATAAATAAAATGATTAAATCCTATAAACAAAAAATAATTAAACTATTCAAACAATTAAAAAATTAAGATCCTATTTTCAATCTTTTCGAAGATGCCCTAATAAAGTTGCTCTTAGATGCTGAGTGAATGTTGAGGGACTTACAGTTGCCTGAGGAAGGTGCGGAGGCCCCTCCTGAAGGCTGACTCCGTCAGGAAGTGTCTCATCATCCGTATGATCGAAGCTCCTGCCGGAGGTGTCTCAGTTCGTAATTAACACATTAGTAGAGCCAGGATTTAAAATGAGCTTCAGGATAGTTGCTAATGAGCTAGTGTAGGATAGTAGTTTTAAGTGAGCTGGTGTAGCATAATAGTTCTTAGTGAACTGACGTAGGATTACAGCTCTTAGTGTAGGATATTAGTATCTAGTGAACTGGTGTAGGAGTACAGCTCTTAGTTGGTGTAGGATAATAACTCTTAGTGAAAGAGCTCTTATATGATAGAGCCCAATAGGAGCAGGAACCTGTACACCAGTTGACTGACAGTCGAGTAGCGATACCAAAGAGCAAGCACAATTAGAAGAGTACACACAGCTCAAGTTTTGTAAGTTTCGATGAGAAATCTATTTCCGATGGAGGTGGTACTGGTGTTACACATCTCGACAATGCTACCTTTGTTGTAGGAGATGGTGTCGAAGATCTCGTTAATATGGGCGGGGTCGTGCACGGGGACGCTGACGGGGTGGGAGGAGCGGAGGGCGTCCAGAGCCATCACCGCCTGCTGCCGCGCCACAACGAATTGATCCATCACCCTCCAAGACGGCTCCAGCTGCGCCGCCGTCAGCCCACATCACCAAGAACGAGCAGAGAATAAGGTCAAAACGTTATTATGGAAGGTGTGGGAATCTTTCCAGGGCAAGGTAAAGGAAGGTCATGCTAAATTATTATATAAATTATAGCCATAAGACATCCATATGCAGATGAGGAATCATATGCCCATGATTTGCGGACAGCAGCTTACACTTGATTACATAGGGATTCAAGCATCAACAGCCTATTGGACTAACTAGGCTCTATGCTGTAGGAGGCATTTGGCTGGATCTGAGCAGATACGATATGACTTTACACTTCAGAAATAATCCTACTGCTGCCATTCTTAGTCACACCACCAATAAAGACAAGTGAGACACTTCCAGTGGAACCCATACACGTCCAAGTCATAATATTACCTCCACTATGTCTCAGATGTGGTGGTAAGCTTTAGATCGTAAGTAGTTTCTGTCTGTATCTACTCTTTCCACTTCCATCACTGAATCAGGTTAATCTTCGTCTCAACGGTCTAAAATGCTTTGTTGCGAAAACATACAGGCATTTTTATGGACTTCTGACTCAAGCTGCAGCCTGGGTGTTTTGCTCTCGAGACTGACCGGTAGTTTGCATCATGTGTTGAGCCATCTGAGATTTTGCTGTTGTCGTCTACACTTTTTGGTGTTATCCAACACATCTACGCCTGCATCAAGACTATTCTTGATCAGTTCGACAGTTGAATATGGCTCCTGTTCATAGTAGAAAGAATTCTTCAGTGATCCATTACAGTGGTCTTGGCTGGTCTACCAAGTCCTGGTCTACCAGGTAATGCCGAGCCAACGAGTACGTTATTACTTCCTCACAATGCTTGAAACAAATGATATGTAGGCATGATAAACCCATGGACAATCACCCGCCCCTCTAAGACCATAGCATGCAAAACCTCTGGATATTCTTCTTCAAAGATCCCTGCAAGGTAAACCTCCTGGACAAACACTATCCACAAGCGTCTCTTGCAAGGTAAACCCCTGGACAATCCCCTCCCTCCCTCAAAGACCCGAGCGTGCAGTCCTCGGGAGAATTAAACACTCACATTATCTATGGCTACATCAGCCATGTAGGTGGCGAAGCCTTCGTTGAGCCAGAGGTCGGTCCACCAGGTCATCGTGACCAGGTTACCGAACCACTGGTGGGCCAGCTCGTGGGCCACCAGGTAACTCGTCCACTGCTTCTGGCTCGCTGACGAGCTGCTCGGGTCGTATAGCAGCCCAGACTCCCTGTATATGGGATGGGAGGTCAGCTGCAAGGTTTGGTGAGAGGCATCTGACGAGCATCAGGCCTCCAACCTTAGACAGACACAGACAGACAGACAGACATTCTTGCTTTTAGATATAGATAGCGATATAGTGATGTATATCTATAAACAGTAAAATATATATATATAAAGCTATATAGGATAAATTAAATAAGCATTATGCACGAAAAGAGAATGAGAGAAAATCTGGGGTATAGAGCGAGACAGTGAATTTAATTACATATATTACGTGGAAAGCAAAATCCTTTCAGTGAACAAATTAATTTATGATCAAACAACACATCAGAAAATGAAGAAACGACAACGTTTCGGTTCATTATCAAGTTTACTTGATAATGGTCCAGGATGGACCGAAACGTCTTCGTTTCTCCATCTTCTGATGTGTTGTTTGATCATCATATCTTCAGCCACGTTATTGTGACTCATCGTCTGCAAGCTAGTTAATCAAGCAAAATAAACTTCTCTTCCCAGTTAACAAGTAAACTCGACTACACACTACGAAGTGAAGTGACGACGACGTTTCTACTTGAGAATGGTCCAGAACGGACCGAAACGTCGTCGTCCCTTCACCTTCTAGTGTGTGGTCTGGTCAACATACTTCAGCCACGTTATTGTGACTCCTCGTCTGCAACAAGTAAACTCCTCTAGTGAACAAACCAGTATATCAGGCAAAATAAACCTCTCCGTCTATAAACAATCAAGTGCATCACGCAAAGTCAACTTCTCCAACAGTTAACAAGCCAGTGTATGTTGACCAAACCACACACTAGAAAGTGAAGGGACGACGACGTTTCGATCCGTCCTGGACCATTCTCAAGTCGATTGTCATTCTCAAGTCAGTGTATCATGCAAAATTAGGTATCACTTAATCAGCACCCAGTCAGCGACTAAAAACAGATTTAACATTGCTAGAATGTTTGTGTGATAAGAAAGATCTTAATTAATGAGAAGTTTCGGAGTCAGTTCTTACTCCGAAGCCTGAAGGAGGATTCGACGCAAGAATGTTCATGAAAGCAGGAAACAGCAGCCCTGTCAGGCGTGTCGGTGACTGACCTGTAGGTGACGAGCCCCCAGTTCTCCATAGCGTTGGGACTCATCTCAGGAGGGCAAATAAAATCGAGTTTCGGGAGAGGAAAGTCCACGCCAAAGAATCCTTCAAAGAATTCTAGGCTTCTCTGGGCCACTTCGGAGCCATAGTGAAGTTTAGACTCTTCCGACTCGCGAACCCAAACTGGACAGAGGAAGAAATAGAAAAGTAATAAGTAAATAGATGGAAGCATATAGAAAAAGTAACGCGATAACCATTTTGAAAAAAGAAAGAGAAGAAAGATATTGAGTTAAGTTCTCACGCTTAAAAAAAAAAAGGCTGCAATTTCTAATGTAGTTGAAGATTATTCCACTATGAAAAATCTAGAATTTTAACGATATTTTATTCCGTCTGTAAATGTGGTTTGGTTTTTATTCCCTCTGTAAGTAGTTTGCTTTCCACTTAGTATTGTTTTGGTATAGGAACTGTACTGTTGACTTCGCCTCTACACCAAGCAGACCTGTGACCAGCCTACCCTCCACACCAAGCAGACCTGTGACCAGCCTACCCTCTACACCAAGCAGACCAGTGACCAGCCTACTCACTACACCAAGCAGACCAGTGACCAGCCTACCCTCTACACCAAGCAGACCAGTGACCAGCCTACCCTCTACACCAAGCAGGCCTGTGACCAGCATACCCTCTACACCAAGCAAACCAGTGACCAGCCTACCCTCTACACCAAGCAGACCTGTGACCAGCCTACCCTCCACACCAAGCAGGCCTGTGACCAGCCTACCCTCTACACCAAGCAGACCTGTGACCAGCCTACCCTCTTCACCAAGCAGACCTGTGACCAGCCTACCCTCTACACCAAGCAGACCTGTGACCAGCATACCCTCTACACCAAGCAGACCTGTGACCAGCCTACCCTCTACACCAAGCAGACCTGTGACCAGCCTACCCTCTACACCAAGCAGGCCTGTGACCAGCCTACCCTCTACACCAAGCAGACCTGTGACCAGCCTACCCTCTTCACCAAGCAGACCTGTGACCAGCATACCCTCTACACCAAGCAGACCTGTGACCAGCCTACTCTCTACACCAAGCAGACCTGTGACCAGCCTACTCACTACACCAAGCAGACCAGTGACCAGCCTACCCTCTACACCAAGCAGACCAGTGACCAGCCTACCCTCTACACCAAGCAGGCCTGTGACCAGCATACCCTCTACACCAAGCAAACCAGTGACCAGCCTACCCTCTACACCAAGCAGACCTGTGACCAGCCTACCCTCTACACCAAGCAGGCCTGTGACCAGCCTACCCTCTACACCAAGCAGACCTGTGACCAGCCTACCCTCTACACCAAGCAGACCTGTGACCAGCCTACCCTCTTCACCAAGCAGACCTGTGACCAGCCTACCCTCTACACCAAGCAGACCAGTGACCAGCCTAGCCTCTACACCAAGCAGACCTGTGACCAGCCTACCCTCTACACCAAGCAGGCCTGTGACCAGCCTACCCTCTACACCAAGCAGACCTGTGACCAGCCTACCCTCTTCACCAAGCAGACCTGTGACCAGCATACCCTCTACACCAAGCAGGCCTGTGACCAGCCTACCCTATACACCAAGCAGACCAGTGACCAGCCTACCCTCTACACAAAGCAGACCTGTGACCAGCCTACTCTCTACACCAAGCAGACCAGTGACCAGCCTACCCTCTACACCAAGCAGACCAGTGACCAGCCTACCCTCTACACCAAGCAGACCTGTGACCAGCCTACCCTCTACACCAAGCAGACCAGTGACCAGCCTACCCACTACACCAAGCAGGCCTGTGACCAGCCTACCCTCTACACCAAGCAGACCTGTGACCAGCCTACCCTCTACACCAAGCAGGCCTGTGACCAGCCTACCCTCTACACCAAGCAGACCAGTGACCAGCCTACCCTCTACACCAAGCAGACCTGTGACCAGCCTACCCTCTACACCAAGCAGACCAGTGACCAGCCTACCCTCTACACCAAGCAGACCTGTGACCAGCCTACTCTCTACACCAAGCAGACCTGTGACCAGCCTACCCTCTACACCAAGCAGACCAGTGACCAGCCTACCCTCTACACAAAACAGACCTGTGACCAGCCTACCCTCTACACCAAGCAGACCAGTGACCAGCCTACCCTCTACACCAAGCAGACCTGTGACCAGCCTACCCTCTACACCAAGCAGACATGTGACCAGCCTACCCTCTACACCAAGCAGACCAGTGACCAGCCTACCCACTACACCAAGCAGACCAGTGACCAGCCTACCCACTACACCAAGCAGGCCTGTGACCAGCCTACCCTCTACACCAAGCAGACCAGTGACCAGCCTACCCACTACACCAAGCAGACCTGTGACCATCCACACCTGAAGGTGATGAGACCCCAGTTCTCCATGGCATTAAAGGAGTTCTCGGGGACGGCTATAAGGTCAATTTTAAGGAGCGGTGTGCAGAGGGCGAAGTAGTCCTCGAAGTACCGTAGGGACCTGAAGGCGGTCTCACCGGCGAGTCTGGCGTGTTCTCCCCTCGACACCCTGGTCACCACTGGAGGTAGACGGGCAGGCAGTGACCACAGGGGCACGAGGACACACACACACAATTGTTTATTTTAATTATTTATAATGATGCTGAAAAACAAACAGTGGATGAAAAACAGGAAATCAGTCTATATAAATAAAAATGGAAATGCTCGTTTGTTCAAAATCGCTAATCTCCGAAAGTTCTTCACCGATTGCTTTAAAATGTTTACACAACGTTCCATTCGCATCCGAGCAGGTTTTTATATATATACTATATAGATGTTACGTCTGTGACGGAGAAAAAAACATGATTTTTTTGAAAAACTGTGTTTTTCATGTTTTTTCATGTGAAGGAAATCTTCGAAACCTCTTTACCGATTGCTTTCAAATTTTGAGACAACGTTGCATTCGAATAGACGAGTGTTTTTATATACCTACTATATACATGCCTCACCTGTAACAAGAAAAAAACATGATTTTTTGGAAAATCAGCACCATCTGTAGGACGTAAGAGCAACACATGCTGTAAACTTTGAAAGTTCTTATCCGAATGCTTTGAGATTTTGTCACAACGTTCCATTCGAATACGTGCATGTTTTTATATACCTACTATCTACATGCCACACCTGTGACAGGTAAAAGACATGTTTTTTTTGGAAAAACAGCGCCATCTGTTGCACGTAAGAGCAACACACACTATATAAAATACGGTTCGATTTCATTTCAATATTTCCGATTGCATTGATAAATTGATTTTTCATAGACTTTGATTTATTGTCATTTTGATTTAATTATTTTGTGTGACATTGCCTTGGAATTGAGCTGCGTTGTTTATCATTGTGTTCATTTCGTGAGTGTAGTTTATTTGTTTCTTTTTTCATTGTTTTTCATTTCGTTTTTTTAACTGTTCTTATTTTTCAGTGCAATTGGTGGTGAAATTGAGCTGTGTCGATTGATCTATGTTTGAATTGAAATATTTCGTTAGTATTTTTTGGTTTTGTTTTGAAAACAAAAAAATGGAAAATACGTTTATTTCACAGCTGCAAATGCTATAAATCCACCGGCTACAACAGTTACTGCTGTCTTCATTTTATGTCAAAATGACGCGTTTACAAAAAGACTGTTGTATTCAGAAGTGCCTTCGTATTACACATGGAATGCCAGTAGAAAATCATTTGAACAACGCAAACGAGGAGAGCGAGTCGACGGACAACCTGGCATATTCAAATAAACTACGATAGGTAGACATCCACCGTGCATCCCAATCAAGATGAATACTTCTTTCTTCGCATGCTGTTGGTAAATGTGCTTTATGTCATGTCTGTGCTTTTGAATCTATATATTTGAGAAATATTTTATCTTAATATCTTTAATGTTGTGAGCATGTCCCCTTGCGCACATCTTTCCTAATTATGCAGGTAAATATTTTTGTATGATTACGTTAAATGTTTCTTAATATTAGTTTTATATAAAAATATGCTTAAAGGATTTGTTTTGATTGGGAGGAGGATTTACACGTTTGATTTATTTATTGTCTTAGTTTCTACTTATTTAAATCCAGATTCAAAGACCATCCAGTTTCTAATAAAAAATATGGTCAAACAAGTTGTTTTTAGTACCCAATTATTTGTTGTCTATCACGTACCACACCTTGTCCCATGTCTCTGAGTGCGTGTATCTGGTCTATTCCCCCGAGTGTGTGAGTACCTGGTCCATCCCTTTGAGGGTGTACCTTGTCCTTACCCCCTAAGCGTGTACCTGGAGGCCTAACCTCTTGAGTGCATCCTCGACCCTCAGCCCTGAGTGTGTACTCGACCCTCAGCCCTGAGTGTGGTCCCGGAGCTTACCTCTAAGAAGGGTACCGTTGGTGGCTTCACCGATGACTCTTACTGGGAAGTCGGAGACGACGAAGGCGACGAGGTAGGTGGACATGGGGACGGAGAGCTGGAACTCGTCCCACAACCAGCCCTCCTGGTCCTCTCTGACCCCATAAATAGTATTAGACACTCTACAATAGAGACAATTATTCTAATATAATTCACACAATTTGAAACTCGGGGGATATACGAGTAGGGGAACCTGGTTTGTGATGGCTCCCAGGAGAGAAGGTCGAGCTTAGCTCCGGGGCCTGGTTGGGGTTAGGAGAGGCTCTGTGTACAGTGTAAAACAATAGAGAGCAGAAGACTTGCAAGGTTGTCTGGCAGAGGGATCAAACCTGCTTTTGAGGATAGTGTGTTAAAAGGTTTATGTTGCACATAGAAGTGTGCAAGAAGTGTCTCATTCCACATGAGAACTTTTGAAAAAACTAGAATTTAATAAATTTTTGTCTGCACATTTCAAAGGCTACTCGGCACACCAATATTAAGGTCGCACTTGAACAGATACTCTTCATTGTAAATATTATAAAGTTCGGATTTGTTAGTTTTTTGCCAGGTACATATTTTGACCCTTGGCGCGAGGGGCCGCTAATCACTACTGAGAACTAATAATACTCAAGTGCCAGCCCAGGGGCGGTGCCCAGGGGCGCCTTCCTCACATGGGAGTGGAGACGACGAGGGGCATGTTAGAGAGCGCCGTCATGTGCTCCTCCCTCGCCAGGTAGATCTTGAAGGTGGCCTTCAGACCCGGCTCGTCGAAGCATGGGAAGGCGCGTCGCGCGTCCGTCGCCTGGAACTGCGTCGACGCCACCCAGCTGAGGGAGAGAGAATGGAACGTGATGTCACCTAACTGGCTGCGTATGTCTCTAAGCGCGTTAAATTCTATGTACTAAGCACTATATCTCACAATTTGAATTGTATTTATCGAGTATTAGATCTCACTCGTTCATGTACTCACCTAGTTGTGCTTGAGGGGGGTTGAGCTCTGGCTCTTTGGGCCCGCCTCTCAACTGCCAATCAATCAACTGACCCCCCCCCCTAAACACACATGAAGCAGTCCGTAGCAGCTGTAACTCCCAAGTACCTATTTACTGCTAGGTTAACAGGGGGATCAGGGTAAAAGAAACTCTGCCCATTTGTTTCCACCTCCGCCGGGGATCGAACCCGGACCCTTAGGACTATGAATCCAGATCGCTGTCCACTCAGCCATCAGGGCCCCTAGATTGGTTTGGAATTCTCTATTGTGCGTCGAGAACGAAGCCGACTGTACTACCGGGACCCTGTATATCCGTGGATTAACTTATTAGTGGGCTATTTTAGTGGGCGTTTTGTCCACTGTGGGTAAAGCTGGTGGCGGGATTCCCAACGTGATTTTTCCAAGACAAAGAGTATTAATATTAACATGCAGATTGACTGATAAACATTGCAATAGTTAAGCATGTTGTTATAACCTCTTTACTCCGTTTTCTTTGATGTAGGAGGACCTGTAGAAGCCTCTGGGGATCTCGCCCAGTGTGCCAACGAAGTCGAGCGAGAGAGTGTAGTTGGTGCCCTCCACCAGCGCCTTCTGCAGGTGGACGATGTACAGCATCCTGGCGGAGGAGTACTGCTGCTGCAGGATCAACTGCTCTTGTCCGCTCTCAGACTCCACCAGCTGTCAATGAGGAACATTTCAATTTAATTTGCGAGACAAACACCTTTTAAATGAGTGAGGCGTCGTGACACAAGATTAGTGTTGGGAGGCGATGAGTCACAATAACGTGTCTGAAGTAAGTTGTCCAGGACGGAACGCCCACTTAAATAGCCCACTAATAAGTAAGAATGGTCCAGGACGGACCGAAACGTCGTCGTCCCTTCACCTTCTAGTGTGTGGTCTGGTCAACATTAGTGTTGGGAGTCACGAGTGTGGCGTCGTTACCAACGTCTCCTTAACCAGGCTTTTTAAACTGATCGTTATCAAGTCCAGACAAGGATAACATCGGTGGAAATGCAATGAAGTGTTTAAGGTTGTAGAAATCTAAAGGCAGCATAAAACTTCCACTTACTAATAATTAAGTGCAATTCAAACTATATACCCTAGACGTTGAAAGATGCTGGAAATGTTTCCATCAACTCAAGTTCTTTTCACATATCCATACATTAAAACATTGATTATAACCATGATATATATATGTACTTCTCCCTACAGTTTAGACCTATTGTCTTATGTATGACCCTCTGTCCTGCGTAACAGTGAATACCAGCATTAGCCTCACTTTAATAAGACTTAATCGAAATCCTCAGATTAGGCAAAATTGTAATTAATTTTGTCAGTAAAGATGTTAATAATAATAATAATCAACTGAGGATAAAACCCACACTCTGGTGAGGTCTTCCAGCACTCCACTAGCTCACTTAAACAATGCAGGGAGAGTAAAGATGTACCAGTCACCGCTACCTCATCACCTCGGGACAACAGATTAGAAAATGGTAATAATTATTAATGGGAAGGTAAACTGTCTTAATTCTGAACCTGAATCATAGATGGCGTTGAGGTTCGTCACAGGCGTCGTGACAAGGGTTCGTGTTGTGAGTCATAAGTGTGGCATTGTGACAAGGGTTCTAGAACAGATTCTTGAGGACCTTGCTTGTCACGCGCCTGTATCTCAAAATGCATCATTGAAAATAGTCCTTTGTTTTCTGTCTATCAGGTACAGAGAGAAAATGCGATAATTAAGTGGGCTGAGAGGCACTGAGGTAGAGAGGATGGGTGGTGATGGAGGGAGGAGGGGCAGGGTGAGGGAGACTGTGCTGAAGCATAATGCGGGTGAGAGGATACGTCAATCGTATGCGTCTCAATTTTCCTGACACTATTCCTTCTCTGAACCTGGCACATATCACCAAAAATATCAACATAAGACTTCCTCGTTTATTATTTCTAGATGGAAATAATGATAATTTAATTTTATTAGAAGCTAGAAAACTCTGTTTACTATAAAGCAAAAATTAGAGCTGCTCGAGTGTATAATGAGTTGTTGAAATCAATGTTCAATATAGAGCGAGGAACAATGCGTTTGATAAACTTATGACTGAAAATTCTACCAACATTACTAGCACTCAGGACCACACACATTGAGACGTTTGAGTTAATGGATTATGTTTGTGTCAATAAGCCTTAAATAAGCCTTGACCACACCTACCGCTGCTGCTACTGTTGCTGCTGCTGCTTCTACTGGTACGGCTGCTTCTACTGCTGCTGCCATGGTGGCATGTACCATGGTGTCAAGGCACATTGATTGTATCGTATCCTGGTGTTATGGTACCTCGGTGGTATGGTACCATGATTTTATCTCACCCTATTTGTGTTGTTCTTAAATTAAACTATTCCTTTCTGGTATGGTGCCTTGGTTCTAACCTAGTTGTGTTTGCAGGGGTTGAGCTTTGCCTCTTTGGTCCCGCTTTGGTGGCACGGTAACTTGCTAACATGGTATCGTGGTGGTATGGTACTACTATGGTATGATTCCCTGGTCATATGGTCCTTAAATGAAAGTATACCTTGGTGGTATGGTTGAGAGTGATGATGTCCGTCATGTGGAGGATGACGGAACGAGTGGCTTCCAGCACCAGAAGATCGACGTCAACGTGGCCATGGATGCTGAAGTTGCCGTTGATGAAGGGCTGAAGTCTGACCAGGTAGTGGAGCGGCTTGAGTGTCCGAGGCAGCCGCACGTCACCCTCTTCCTCACCCTGACGGTAAATATGGGTTTGGTTGTAGTTTCTAAACCATATTGGGTCATGGCAGCTAGAAAATATTCATGTTGGGATCACTCTGTGTAGAAATTTAACCTGTATATTACCAAACAAACCATAAACACATTAGGTAAGAGACTAACCGTGGATGCATTAGTGGCTGGCATGGTTGTGGACGTGATGGTGGGCGTGGTTGTGGACGTGACGGTGGGCGTGGTTGTGGACGTGACGGTGGGGAAGGTGAGGAGGACCAGCATCATGGTTCCCCACAACAGTGAGGCACCTCGGCCTGCCCCGCTCATCATGACAGGACAAAGTTGACGCCCTTGCTAAGGCTGCAGTAAATAAAGACAGTATTGAACGGAATCTTCAGTTATCAAATAGGTCCCTTAAAAGTGTCATTAGAAGAGAACTCCTGGATGAATTTGAAGAAAGTAGAACAGTGCAAACTGGAACTAGCAGGTCCATTGTTCATCACAAGGAAATGTGTGAAGTAAAACATGTGTATGGGGCAAGTAACAAAGTCAGTAGACTAACAGATGTTGTCACAGCTCGTAAAAGACTTGGCTATAAGTATCTCTGGCAGTTCGGCTTGTATAGGGATCTAGATGAAGTAAGTGTAAAGTGTGTGGACAAAGACAGGGACACACACTCGAACACTATATCTTGGATTGTAGTAAAATTGAGCCATTTAGAGATAAATCTAAGCTCACTCTGTATGATATGGCAACCTATCTTATTACCATGGATAAATTACCTGAAGTCCTTGCACTGTATCCACATTTCGCTTCCAGTAGATGAACGACACATGAGATTCAGAAACAAGTAGTGTATTGTGAGGATTAATAATAAACAGAAGCTCCCTTATGACTCTAATATCCCCATTGGTCAAACTATTATGTATTAGCGATGAGACCTACCATTAATGTATGATGACTTACTGTAAATATGTAGCTCTTGAAATAGCACTTTCTCTGTAACAAGCTGACATTGTAACTATAAGGTGTGAAGGATAGATGAAATTGTTTATGTAATAATCTAAGATGAGGTCTGATAAAGACCTTTTGTGCCCGCTGTAATGCTTTTGCGCTACCGCTCACAGGATGAGTATGGGGTGCACAATAAACTAGCCGCCTTCAGCGGCAACAATCAACTCAAATCACTGTAGTTGTGGCGACGTGCCACACTGAGACGACACACTGGGCATAACAATTATGATAATGGTGATAATAACAATAACAAAATAAACTCATACAAATAATAATAACAGGAATATACTTCACATCACATGTGAAGTATATTCCTGTTTGTGTAGTATAGTTTATATATTATTATATACTATATTATATAGTATATAATAGAAGTGTAGTTTTCATTGAGGTGTAGAATATTCGTCATGTGACCGAACCGTCCAGGTTATCATCAACACTCAGTCCACCTGGGAACCGTCCAGGTTATCATCAGCACTCAGTCCTCCTGGGAACCGTCCAGGTTATCATCAGCATTCAGTCCTCCTGGGAACCTTCCAGGTTATCATCAGCACTCAGTCCTCCTGGGAACCGTCCAGGTTATCATCAGCACTCAGTCCTCCTGGGAACCGTCCAGGTTATCATCAGCACTCAGTCCTCCTGGGAACCTTCCAGGTTATCATCAGCACTCAGTCCTCCTGGGAACCTTCCAGGTTATCATCAGCACTCAGTCCTCCTGGGAACCTTCCAGGTTATCATCAGCACTCAGTCCTCCTGGGAACCGTCCAGGTTATCATCAGCACTCAGTCCTCCTGGGAACCGTCCAGGTTATCATCAGCACTCAGTCCTCCTAGGAACCTTCCAGGTTATCATCAGCACTCAGTCCTCCTGGGAACCGTCCAGGTTATCATCAGCACTCAGTCCTCCTGGGAACCGTCCAGGTTATCATCAGCACTCAGTCTTACTGGGAACCGTCCAGGTTATCATCAGCACTCAGTCCTCCTGGGAACCTTCCAGGTTATCATCAGCACTCAGTCCTCCTGGGAACCTTCCAGGTTATCATCAGCACTCAGTCCTCCTGGGAACCTTCCAGGTTATCATCAACACTCAGTCCTCCTGGGAACCTTCCAGGTTATCATCAGCACTCAGTCCTCCTGGGAACCTTCCAGGTTATCATCAGCACTCAATCCTCCTGGGAACCTTCCAGGTTATCGTCAGCACTCAGTCCTCCTGGGAACCTTCCAGGTTATCATCAGCACTCAGTCCTCCTGGGAACCGTCCAGGTTATCATCAGCACTCAGTCCTCCTGGGAACCTTCCAGGTTATCATCAGCACTCAGTCCTCCTGGGAACCGTCCAGGTTATCATCAGCACTCAGTCCTCCTGGGAACCTTCCAGGTTATCATCAGCACTCAGTCCTCCTGGGAACCTTCCAGGTTATCATCAGCACTCAGTCCTCCTGGGAACCTTCCAGGTTATCATCAGCACTCAGTCCTCCTGGGAACCTTCCAGGTTATCATCAGCACTCAGTCCTCCTGGGAACCTTCCAGGTTATCATCAACACTCCGTTTTCCTGGGAACCTTCCAGGTTATCATCAGCACTCAGTCCTCCTGGGAACCGTCCAGGTTATCATCAGCACTCAGTCCTCCTGGGAACCTTCCAGGTTATCATCAGCACTCCGTCCTCCTGGGAACCGTCCAGGTTATCATCAGCACTCAGTCCTCCTGGGAACCTTCCAGGTTATCATCAGCACTCCGTCCTCCTGGGAACCGTCCAGGTTATCATCAGCACTCAGTCGTCCTGGGAACCGTCCAGGTTATCATCAGCACTCAGTCCTCCTAGGAGCCTTCCAGGTTATCATCAGCACTCAGTCCTCCTGGGAACCGTCCAGGTTATCATCAGCACTCAGTCCTCCTGGGAACCGTCCAGGTTATCATCAGCACTCAGTCCTCCTGGGAACCTTCCAGGTTATCATCAGCACTCAGTCCTCCTGGGAACCGTCCAGGTTATCATCAGCACTCAGTCCTCCTGGGAACCTTCCAGGTTATCATCAGCACTCTGTCCTCCTGGGAACCTTCCAGGTTATCATCAGCACTCAGTCCTTCTGGGAACCGTCCAGGTTATCATCAGCACTCAGTCCTCCTGGGAACCTTCCAGGTTATCATCAGCACTCCGTCCTCCTGGGAACCGTCCAGGTTATCATCAGCACTCAGTCCTCCTGGGAACCGTCCAGGTTATCATCAACACTCAGTCCTCCTGGGAACCTTCCAGGTTATCATCAGCACTCAGTCCTCCTGGGAACCTTCCAGGTTATCATCAGCACTCAGTCCTCCTGGGAACCTTCCAGGTTATCATCAACACTCAGTCCTCCTGGGAACCTTCCAGGTTATCATCAGCACTCAGTCCTCCTGGGAACCTTCCAGGTTATCATCAGCACTCAGTCCTCCTGGGAACCTTCCAGGTTATCATCAGCACTCAGTCCTCCTGGGAACCTTCCAGGTTATCATCAACACTCAGTCCTCCTGGGAACCTTCCAGGTTATCATCAGCACTCAGTCCTCCTGGGAACCTTCCAGGTTATCATCAGCACTCAGTCCTCCTGGGAACCTTCCAGGTTATCATCAGCACTCAGTCCTCCTGGGAACCTTCCAGTTTATCATCAAGACTCAGTCCTCCTGGGAACCTTTCAGGTTATCATCAGCACTCAGTCCTCCTGGGAACCGTCCAGGTTATCATCAGCACTCAGTCCTCCTGGGAACCTTCCAGGTTATCATCAGCACTCCGTCCTCCTGGGAACCGTCCAGGTTATCATCAGCACTCAGTCCTCCTGGGAACCGTCCAGGTTATCATCAACACTCAGTCCTCCTGAGAACCTTCCAGGTTATCATCAGCACTCAGTCCTCCTGGGAACCTTCCAGGTTATCATCTGGATAACCTGGAAGGTTTGTGTGTGCAAGTAATATTAACAATTGCGAAACTACCTTAACAAGATTGTGACTTGCTTAGCTAAATGAACTGTAGGATTCAGTTCCTGAACCCATTATGTGCCTCTGAAGCCCTTTCCACCACCGCCCACGGGATGGGTATGGGGTGCATAATAAATGAATGAATGACTGACTCGTCCATCCAGACTCACCAACACACAAGAGACATGATTGGTCTGTGTGTGTCCTACGGAGCTAATAATGCCATAACCCACATTTAACTTCTCTACTAGTCCTTCCCTCCCCGAGTATAAAGTACCAAGAGATAAGACATGTGACCTAATGACAGATGTTCTTCCCTTTGCACGAATAGAGCAATTTCGATGTTCTTATCCCTTGAAAAACATTTTTTTGTTTAACTTAGTTTAGCAACTGTCTGGCAAACAAAACATACTGTCATTTCAACAAATTAAAATAAATCTTACATGTAAATAGCTAATAACACACAATAGTATTCGACAAAATTATTGCATCTTTGGTCCCCCTATCGATAACTATATAGAATAATTGCAGTTTTACTTTGCAAAACTTCGTAGTAAACTCTAACCACTTGTAAAAAAGTAATGGTAGTTTAGGTAATTATATTGGAATATTCAGCGTATTCAGCGTCAGTCCGTCCTCCTAAGCTTTCCCAACGTCAAGAAACTGTCGTACTAAAGTGCCCTTATCCTAACCTACCAGAGGACCTAAAACAGAAAACGGGGCAGTATGTCAATTTTCCGAACCGCTATCATTTGCTAGTACGACAATTGTTGGACTTGGGTAGAGTATACGTCAAAATGCGACGTTCTATTAGGAGGACGGGTGGCTCTGCTTGTCACTGTAGTGTTAGAGTACTGTCCTTCATAGTCTTGTGCAGCCGGGCTCTGGGTAGCAATATCTCAGTCGTACAGGTGATAAAAAGGGCACGACACACATGTCACTCCTTCCACTGCTCAGTGCTCATGCATTTGAATACAAAGTGCTCATGTATCCCGATGCTCAATGCTCATATATTACACTGTGGGCTGCCTGATGTGCTATCTTTTTGAGGTTATCTTGAGATGATTTCGGGGCTTTTTAGTATCCCCGCGGCCCGGTCCTCGACCAGGCCTCCACCCCCAGGAAGCAGCCCGTGACAGCTGACTAACACCCAGGTACCTATTTTACTGCTAGGTAACAGGGGCATAGGGTGAAAGAAACTCTGCCCATTGTTTCTCGCCGGTGCCTGGGATCGAACCCAGGACCACAGGATCACAAGTCCAGCGTGCTGTCCGCTCGGCCGACCGGTTCCTGCTACACACATATACTACACACATATCTAACCTCTCTATGTACGGGGGAAGGAAATGTACATATGTTGATAATTTGTCCTTATAAAAGTACTACAATCGCCTGTGGTTGAGTGCTCAACAGCACACTACACTATACGCCATTTAACGGAGCTCTAACCCTGACCATGGAGACTAATTGATCTACTTCGTCCATGGAGGACAGAAGAATGTATATATATACACAATGACATCACGAAAACGAATATACGCTGGTTAGCAGTGAAGCTGTATGACCACATCTGTCGCTGAACAATAAATCTTATTTACCCCCAAATTGTATTTTGACAATAATTACATTAAGTACACACACTAACCAGAGTTATGTTGTCACTGCTGGGCTGATTTTCAACGGCAAGAGGAGGAGCAGTAGCAGCAAGAGCAGCAGGAGCAGCAGCAGCAGTAGCAGCAGCAGCAGGAGCAGCTAGGAGCTGTGGTAGGGAGTGGACGCAGACCGGCACCTGGTCAGTAACTGACAGTGTGGGGCGATGATGTTGTTCCTGGGGGCGGTGACGTGAGCCGCTGCCACACTATCTCTCTGGCAGTCACCCTCGCCCCCCCCCCCCCTCCCCACTCTTACGTCACCCTGGCCTGCTGGGCTCTGTGTCACTCTCTTTCAGCACTATTTCATTACAGCTTTCCTTGTCTATTAACATGAAGACCCTCAAGCAATTGGAGCAAAAATAAGGCATGGTTGTAGGATATTCCTTTAGTACAGTGGACTACGTCCTCGGTTGGGAGCCTTTCCTCTCGCCTGATGTCCCTGTTCCCCCTAGCAGTAAAATAGGTACCCGCGAGATAGGCAGCTGTTGTTGGTTGCATCCTGGGGAAGGTCAGTAGATGGCCTAGGTGTGGACATTGACTAGACTAAGTGCAGGTTTCCTGTCCCTGACAACGAGATTACATATCAAGGTCCCCCTGTGGGCTAACTACTGACCTTCCACAGGATGAATCTCACAACAGTTCCCTAATTCCCCGGGTACCTACTTACTACTGGGTGAACAGAGGCATCAGGCGAGAGGAAAAGTGCCCACCCGCGGACGTCGGTGTTTGACCACCGAGATCAACTTGTCTGCTGCTTCCTGGCCCTTGTGGGTGATGTAGTCCATCATGTCTTGTGCAGCCTTTCCCTGTGAGCTCTACTGCCCATAATATTTATATTAGGAATTGTCTGATCTTTTCATAATTTTCCTTTCGGTATGCCAGCTTCCTGTTTCGTGGTTCGTTTCTTCAATAAGGAACTTCTACTTCCACCACATATTCGAACATGAATGCACTCTGATCGCTCATTCTTAAGGGAGGCTTCCAAATTGATTTCCCTTATATCTAACTCGTTCAGAGTTAATACCTGGTCAAGTCTAGCTGGTTCGTCATTACCTCTCATTTCTTGTTGTTCCCTGACAAAATCTGGCTTAAAAAGTTTCTTGTTGCCATATCCAGCAGCTTAGCTCTACATATTTCTATGCCCCCATGCAATTCTTTGTTCTCCCAATCTATCTTTCCATGGTTGATGTCTCCCGTGATGAGAAGTTGGGATCAATTCCCACAAGCGACGGAGACTGCCCTTTCTATAATAGTATTAACTGCCATGTTGTTTCTGTCATGCTCCTGTTTTGGTCTTCTGTTATTTAATGGAGGGTTATATATTACTGCTTCTACTATTTTTGGTCCTCCCATTGTCATGGGAGGACCTGTTATGTAGTTTCTCAACCCTTCACAGCCTGGGCTATCCATTTCTTGAAAACTCCATTCCCTTCTTGTCAGTAGGGGTGTTGTGTTTCTTGTGGAAAGAGCACAACATCTGGGTGTTTTGCTTCTTGTGCTCTTTCCCCAAGTTCACTTGCTTTATTTGCAATGCCATCTATGTTTTAGTATATTTCTTTGAAGCTAACTTTCTTCTGTCCCGTCTCACTTACCACTTACCACACTCTGGTGCTGGTATAGTTCTTACCATACGCTCCCAGGGGACCAGGGGAGCCGGTCGGCCGAGCGGACAGCACGCTGGACTTGTGATCCTGTGGTCCCGGGTTCGATCCCGGGCGCCGGAGAGAAACAATGGGCAGAGTTTCTTTCACCCTATGCCATTGTTACCTAGCAGTAAAATAGGTACCTGGGTGTTAATCAGCTGTCACGGGCTGCTTCCTGGGGGTGGAGGCCTGGTCGAGGACCGGGCCGCGGGGACACTAAAAAGCCCCGAAATCATCTCAAGATAACCTCCCATCAAATGTACAGTAGTAAATGACAATGATGTGATATCATTATGTGAAACACATTTTAGCACTTTGGGGATTCGAGCTAATATTCGCGATTCAGTAGAATGCCAGGTTAAATTACAAATAGCACAGGATGTCCAGTGGGTTAAGACGTGATTTAATGATTTTTGCATTAAAAGGATCATTAACAGAATTTTAGGGGTACGCAAATCTTTATTGCTCTTAATATTATCACATTCTTGAAAAAAAGTATTTTGAGTCAACTGGCAATAGACCCCTGTAACTAACGTCATTCAAACAGCAGTTCTATGTAAACACTGCACCAGTGGGAGCCAGCTACCGCCGAGTCTACACCCAATTTACAGTGTTTGTTCCGTATTATGATCTACATCGCTGGTTCCACCATTTATGATGACATTCCAATCACATCCGATAAACTATTAACCTCTGTAAACAACGTTAGTCTGGCTAATAAGGAATGATTCACTCAGGAGTCAACCACAATATGGGTTAGTATGTTGTGTGGTAATCGTCAGGCTGCAATAACTTACAAGACAAGGGGCTTACATACTTACAATAACTTACATACGTGGGGCTGCGGCCAGCTCCAGCCGCACCCATCAGGTTATCACCAAAAGAGCCTGGCTCCCGACTAGGCAACAGGAGAAAAAAATAACTGGAATGTGGCAAGAAATAAACTGGTCAATCACAAAATCATTAAGACCTACTTTATTTTCAATGAGGTAATCTTGTATGTGTGTAAGAATGTGATATATATATATATATATATATATATATATATATATATATATATATATATATATATATATATATATATATATATATATATATATATATATATATATATATATATATATATATATATATATATATATATATATATATATATATATATATATATATATTAACTAGTTGAGTAGGTCAATAAAGACATTAGCGTCAATACACCAGCAGCTTGGTGGAGAAGCCGTGAGCTTCCAACCACTGGCAAATGACATCATAGTTCCTCTCCATCCAGGCCATGTTGATGTTGGTCCTCTCCATGGCTGACTCAGAGGCCCTGACCACACTCTCCTGGTTCTTGTGGGCCGTCTTGAAGACCTCCAGCTGCAGGGCAAGTTGCACAGAACAAATATATATAAGTTAGTTCTGTGCTATATGAAACCTTTGCAGTGTGACAGTGGAATGGAACATGTAATGCAGGTTAGAAGAAAATCACATACATATAATTGTTTCGTAGTGGGTTAAAAAATCCTTCGGTTAGCTTTTGAAACACCAAATTTTAAAAAAGTACATATATATATATATATATATATATATATATATATATATATATATATATATATATATATATATATATATATATATATATATATATATTCGAGAATCATTTATCTAACGCAGATCGTAATTGAGATCAAATATAGTATTTAAGAGCAGAACACGTACATAACGCCTCACGTCATTTTGTAGCAGATATGTAATACATTATATTCGTTCATAACTAGCACAGGACATGACTGGCTTAGGGCATGACTGGTACAGGACATGGCTGTTACTGAGAGCATGACTGATACAGCCTAACTGTAACTGTTACACAGAGCTTTACTGTGCATCATAGAGAGAGAAAGGCAAGAGATAGAGAGTGAGATAATTACCTGCAACAAATGTTGCTTGCTGTTGAATGTTTTGGTGGCAGCCTTCAAGAAAGCTTCCGCCACGTCATCGTGGTTGCCAAACCTGCAGTGAATAAATCTTGCTAGAATGAAAGCAGTATCTTTATAAAGTATAGCAGCTTCTCTAACTCTTGTGAGCATCTATGACACAGGGGTTGAGCACCCGATGCTGTTCGAACTCTCGGCAACTCTTTCTCTCACACACACACACACACACACACACACACACACACACACACACACACACACACACACACACACACACACACACACACACACACACACACACACACACACACGCACACGCTCACGCACACAAACACTCACACACACTAGGGTCACACTCACATATTTATTATATTTCCTTATTACACCACAAACGTTTACGCATTCTTTAAATCCCAGTCATTTAAACACGCGCACAAGGACATAAGGTCAGTAGCACTTTACCAGATACGTTTACCTGATAATGGTAAGCATGCAATACATATCCTGCATGCTTACCTATGTAACCATAACCAGGCAAGAATGAATTAACATCAACTAATATCAATAGAAAGAAATACAGAACTCATAATGGTGGTCAGAGACAAGATCCTTACGGAACGCGTAATGGCGGCCGGAGACAAGACTTTCGTGAATAGAAGTAACAGCATTAGGTTGATACTTAGAAGAGCTGATTACCTGGAATATGGGACAATAAGTAGATAGTGGAACACCTCAACTCACATATCAGTAACATCATCCCAGTTCTTGAGGAGGAAGTTCCAGGCTACACTGTCGCCTGGAGCGTGAGACGCCACGGAACTGAAGACCTGGAAGATGTCGTGAGCCCTCAGCTTCATGCCGGCGGTGAAGGCCACATCCAGGTACCTGGCGAAGGGAAGAGGACAGTGTCTTAAGACCCAGGTGGCCACAGCTGTCAAGTTGACCAGACCACACACTAGAAGGTGAAGGAACGACGGCGTTTCGGTCCGTCCTGGACCATTCTCAAGTCGATTGTGACTTGAGAATGACTTGAGTCATTCTTGAGTCAGACTTGAGTCACAATCGACTCTAGAATGGTCCAGGACGGACCGAAACGTCGTCGTCCCTTCACCTTCTAGTGTGTGGTCTGGTCAACTTACTTTAGCCACGTTATTGTGACTCATCGCCTGCACAGCTGTCAAGTTCGTGTGTGTAAAACATCTATCATTTTGCTTTGCTTGTAAGCATTTAGATGAATACAATAATTTTGATTCATATTCATTATTCCTTAACAATAGTTCTTAAGTTATTGCACTTTAAATTGGCAGAGAATTAATTCTCTGCCATTCAGAACTCATAATTTCTTATGTCCTTGAAGCATTAAAAATTCGAGTACACATTAGGTAACTCTTCATTGATGTTATGACGCTCTGTAATTCCCAACAATTAATATTAACTCGCCAGCACTTAAAACATTTATAAAACACGACCTTAGTAAGATGATTAATAGACAGCTATCCCAGTAGGAGTATAGCTTCTGGTTACTCATGTAATGGTCATTAGGCCGTTTGCAGTTCTTGCTCTTCTGTTCATATGCCAATATTACTAAAACATTGTTTTTTCACCCTACGTATCACCCTTTTCCTGCCTCTGTATCCAAGTATTATATTTAATAATTAATTTATTATAAAGAAAATGACATCTTTATAATTAAGCAATTAGTAAGAAGACTTATAAAGATAAAAATCATATATACTAGAAATTACAGAGCGTGGAGGAGGCCAGGAGGAGGCCTGGTCGACGACCGGGCCGCGGGGACACTAAGCCCCGGAAGCACCTCAAGGTAGGTAGCGTGAGGTGAACAATTAAATCCGACAATAAATTATAACAACATACTAATATATCAATTACTTTTTATTACACAGAAAGTCTTACCAACCCCCCCAGTCTTGACCCTTCTAACGCCTCCCCAAGCAAGTCTTACCCAGCCTTAACCTTTCTAACGCCTCCCCAAGCAAGTCTTACCAAGCCTTGACCCTTCTAACGCCTCCCCAAGCAAGTCTTACCCAGCCTTGACCCTTCTAACGCCTCCCTAAGCAAGTCTTACCCAGCCTTGACCCTTCTAACGCCTCCCCAAGCAAGTCTTACCCAGCCTTGACCCTTCTAACGCCTCCCCAAGCAAGTCTTACCCAGCCTTGACCTTTCTAACGCCTCCCCAAGCAAGTCTTACCCAGCCTTGACCCTTCTAACGCTTCCCCAAGCAAGTCTTACCCAGCCTTGACCCTTCTAACGTCTCCCCAAGCAAGACTTACCCAGCCTTGACCCTTCTAACGCCTCCCTAAGCAAGTCTTACCCAGCCTTGACCCTTCTAACGCCTCCCCCAAGCAAGTCTTACCCAGCCTTGACCCTTCTAACGCCTCCCCCAAGCAAGTCTTACCCAGCCTTGACCCTTCTAACGCCTCCCCCAAGCAAGTCTTACCCAGCCTTGACCCTTCTAACGCCTCCCCCAAGCAAGTCTTGCCCAGCCTTGACCCTTCTAACGCCTCCCCCAAGCAAGTCTTACCCAGCCTTGACCCTTCTAACGCCTCCCCCAAGCAAGTCTTACCCAGCCTTGACCCTTCTAACGCCTCCCCCAAGCAAGTCTTACCCAGCCTTGACCCTTCTAACGCCTCCCCCAAGCAAGTCTTACCCAGCCTTGACCCTTCTAACGCCTCCCCCAAGCAAGTCTTACCCAGCCTTGACCCTTCTAACGCCTCCCCCAAGCAAGTCTTACCCAGCCTTGACCCTTCTAACGCCTCCCCCAAGCAAGTCTTACCCAGCCTTGACCCTTCTAACGCCTCCCCAAGCAAGTCTTACCCAGCCTTGACCCTTCTAACGCCTCCCCAAGCAAGTCTTACCCAGCCTTGACCCTTCTAACGCCTCCCCCAAGCAAGTCTTACCCAGCCTTGACCCTTCTAACGCCTCCCCAAGCAAGTCTTACCCAGCCTCGACCCTTCTAACGCCTCCCCCAAGCAAGACTTACCCAGCCTTGACCCTTCTAACGCCTCCCCAAGCAAGTCTTACCCAGCCTTGACCCTTCTAACGCCTCCCCCAAGCAAGTCTTACCCAGCCTTGACCCTTCTAACGCCCCCCCCAAGCAAGTCTTACCCAGCCTTGACCCTTCTAACGCCTCCCCCAAGCAAGTCTTACCCAGCCTTGACCCTTCTAACGCCTCCCCCAAGCAAGTCTTACCCAGCCTTGACCCGGGGGTCCTTGCTGCAGGCCAGCGCCTTCACCAGCTGGTCCTTGAGCTTGGCGTCACTGGTCAGGAAGTACTGGCGCCAGGCGAACTGCCACTCCGCCTCTCCGCCATTAGCAATGGCGGTGCAGTACACAGTCTCCCGTACCTCCTCCGGCACACTGCTCAGCCGTCAGGGAGAGAACGCTATCAGTAAAGCATAGCTGTCAATATAATAGGGCATAGCTGTCAATATAATAGAGCATAGCTGTCAATATAATAGAGCATAGCTGTCAATATAATAGGGCATAGCTGTCAATATAATAGGGCATAGCTGTCAATATAATAGAGCATAGCTGTCAATATAATAGAGCATAGCTGTCAATATAATAGAGCATAGATGTCAATATAATAGAGCATAGATGTCAATATAATAGAGCATAGATGTCAATATAATAGAGCATAGCTGTCAATATAATAGAGCATAGCTGTCAATATAATAGAGCATAGCTGTCAATATAATAGAGCATAGCTGTCAATATAATAGAGCATAGTTGTAAATATAATAGAGCATAGCTGTCAATATAATAGAGCATAGCTGTCAATATAATAGAGCATAGCTGTCAATATAATAGAGCATAGCTGTCAATATAATAGAGCATAGATGTCAATATAATAGAGCATAGATGTCAATATAATAGAGCATAGCTGTCAATATAATAGAGCATAGATGTCAATATAATAGAGCATAGCTGTCAATATAATAGAGCATAGCTGTCAATATAATAGAGCATAGCTGTCAATATAATAGAGCATAGCTGTCAATATAATAGAGCATAGTTGTAAATATAATAGAGCATAGCTGTCAATATAATAGAGCATAGCTGTCAATATAATAGAGCATAGCTGTCAATATAATAGAGCATAGCTGTCAATATAATAGAGCATAGCTGTCAATATAATAGAGCATAGTTGTAAATATAATAGAGCATAGCTGTCAATATAATAGAGCATAGTTGTAAATATAATAGAGCATAGCTGTCAATACAATAGAGCATAGCTGTCAATACAATAGAGTATAGCTGTCAATACAATAGAGTATAGCTGTCAATACAATAGAGCATAGCTGTCAATATAATAGAGCATAGCTGTCAATACAATAGAGTATAGCTGTCAATACAATAGAGCATAGCTGTCAATACAATAGGGCATAGCTGTCAATACAATAGAGTATAGCTGTCAATACAATTGAGCATAACTGTCAATACAATAGGGCATAGCTGTCAATACAATAGAGCATAGATGTCTATTTAATAGAACATAGCTATCAATATTATACAGCATAGTTGTAAATATAATAGAGTATAGCTGTCAATACAATAGAGCATAGCTGTCAATATAATAGAGCATAGCTATCAATATTATAGAGCATAGCTGTCAATATAATAGAACATGGCTGTCGATGAAATAGAGCATATTTGTCAATATAATAGAGTTTATTATACAGTCGCGAAATGGCCGATGAACCCACATTTGAAACACGTGAACATTGAGGATCACTGCATTACTGCACTGAGCCTGAGAAATGTATTCATCCCGACTATCGATGAACAGTCGGTAGTCGGGGATAGAGGTGACATGGTCAGAAGGTCAAAAAGGATGAGAGGAGTGGATCGAGGGTTATCTTGAGGTTATCTTGAGATGATTTCCGGGCTTGTTTTAATGTCCCCGGGGCCCGGTCTCCACCCCTAGGAAGCAGCCCGTGACAGCTTAGCCAGCACCTTTACGGGCTATTCATACTCGTGCCATCTCTTGGCCGGTCTCCACCCCCTAGGAAGCAGCCCGTGACAGCTTAGCCAGCACCTTTACGGGCTATTCATACTCGTGCCATCTCTTGGATGGCTTAATCTTCATCAATCGGCAACAGTCTCATTAGACGTTGAGATGTAAGTCTCGTCCTGATCACACATTCAGACCTCAACAAAGCACTCAGGACAGTGGGAAAGACTTGGTGTAAATCTTTTACATAAATTTCACAAATACATATGTGTGGGGTTTTATCCTATGTCATTAGGTCTGTGAGAAGACATTTCCATTGTCTATTTACAATACAATACAATACAATACAATTTTATTTAGGTAAGGTACATACATACAATATATATTTACAAGGATTGTTTAACTTATAGGTATAGCTAGTACATACAATGCCTAAAGCCACTATTACGCAGAGCGTTTCGGGCATTTCATATTAAAGAAAAAACTAAATATTAGAGTGTAATTTACGTGTTATGTAGGCACATGGAGGGTGTGTTATGATGTTTAATATGATGTTCATGTTTGTTTATAGTTTGTTTACTCGTAAGAGCTTGGTGTATTTTTACGTAATATAATAAAATAAATAATAACGTAATAAAAGTAAGATTTACTCGTTTACTTGTAAGATCTGGGTGAATGGAGGGCTGCGTGTGTCGACCAGGTGTTTCACGTTATTAATTCTTGATATTTATTTATTTATTTATTTATATACAAGAAGGTACATTAGGTTTGTGAGAATACATAGCATAGTACAGTATTTACAATCTTGTAAAGCCACTAGTACGCGCAGCGTTTCGGGCAGCGTGTGTGATATAGTAAATGGATCGACATGCAGTGTCTTCCCTCAACAATCTGAATTCATCGTAATTAGCAGTGACCAAAAAAATATAATTAGCTTACTTGATGAATTCGGGTTTGTCCCTCCACTGGCTGTAGAGGAGCTGGGCGAGGTGGACGCAGTCAGGATGGTCCAAGACACACAACCACCTCACCACCTGTGTGTGTTCCCTCAGCACGTCCTGGGCCCGGGTGTCCTTCTCCAGACCCAGCAGCCTGTAGAGCGGCACCAGCAGGGAAAACACGTACTTCTGCAGAGGGAGAGAGAGAGAGATTGATTGTTTACGTGTGATCACCTTACTGTGTCTTGATCCCCGCCAAACACACACCGAAACTACGACGTTGGTACAACGTTCGAACAAGTTTTAACAGCTCCTAATCAGTTATAACAACCAATATTGCAAGTTGTAACAACGTTCTAATACGTCATAAACACGTTAAGCCAAGGTGTAACAACTTTATTACAAGTTGTAACCAGCGGAAAATAGGGACAGTTTCGGTTTGTGTTTCCAGGGTCTAAGCTTATTTTTCCCCTCTCTCTTTTTATTCCCCCGCAGGTCGGCGTTCAATCCCCGACCGTCCAAGTGGCTGGGCGCCATTTCTTCCCGCCCGTCCCATCCCAAATCCTTATTCTGTATTCTGTTCCCTTCCAAGAGCTATATAGTCGTAATGGCTTAACGCTTTCCCTTGATAATTCCCTTCTCTTTCTCTATTATTCAATATTTATCTGTAAATTTTGAGCCTATATGTTTAGCTTTCTGGCAGTTTAATCTCTCTTTGTCTGTTTCTTTCTTTCTTTCCTATTGTATTTGTACAGCCGATTTTAATTTTCTTCATGATCTACCTACCTATGGTGGGGAGTGTATGGCATGCAACTTAGCATGATAAATAAAAAGCTCACCATACAAGTAAATTACTTAGCACAAGACAGTCCAACACACCCACGTAAACACAGCACATGACAGCCCAATACACACACGTAAACACAGCACAAGACAGCCCAACACACCCACGTAAACACAGCACAAGACAGCCCAATACACACACGTAAACACAGCACATGACAGCCCAATACACACACGTAAACACAGCACATGACAGCCCAATACACACACGTAAACACAGCACAAGACAGCCCAACACACCCACGTAAACAGAGCACAAGACAGCCCAACACACCCACGTAAACACAGCACAAGACAGCCCAACACACCCACGTAAACACAGCACATGACAGCCCAATACACACACGTAAACACAGCACAAGACAGCCCAACACACCCACGTAAACACAACACAAGACAGCCTAACACACCCACGTAAACACAGCACATGGCAGCCCAACACACCCACGTAAACACAACACAAGACAGCCTAATACACTCACGTAAACACAGCACAAGACAGCCCAATACACTCACGTAAACACAGCACATGACAGCCCAATACACCTATGTAAACACAGTACAAGACAGCCCAATACACACACGTAAACACAGCACATGACAGCCCAATACACCCACGTAAACACAGTACAAGACAGCCCAACACACCCACGTAAACACAGCGCAAAACAGCCCAACACACCCACGTAAACACAGCACAAGACAGCCCAACACACCCACGTAAACACATCACATGACAGCCCAACACACCCACGTAAACACAGCGCAAGACAGCCCAACACACCCACGTAAACACAGCGCAAGACAGCCCAACACACCCACGTAAACACATCACATGACAGCCCAATACACCCACGTAAACACAGCACATGACAGCCCAATACACCCACGTAAACACAGCACATGACAGCCCAACACACCCACGTAAACACATCACATGACAGTCCAACACACCCACGTAAACACAGCACAAGACAGCCCAATACACCCACGTAAACACAGCACAAGACAGCCCAATACACCCACGAAAACACAACACAAGACAGCCCAACACACCCACGTAAACACAGCACAAGACAGCCCAACACACCCACGTAAACACAGCACAAGACAGCCCAATACACTCACGTAAACACAGCACAAGACAGCCCAATACACTCACGTAAACACAGCACAAGACAGCCCAATACACTCACGTAAACACAGCACATGACAGCCCAATACACCCACGTAAACACAGTACAAGACAGCCCAGTACACACACGTAAACACAGCACAAGACAGCCCAATACACCCACGTAAACACAACACAAGACAGCCCAACACACCCACGTAAACACAGCACAAGACAGCCCAACACACCCACGTAAACACAGCACAAGACAGCCCAACACACCCACGTAAACACATCACATGACAGCCCAACACACCCACGTAAACACAGCACAAGACAGCCCAACACACCCACGTAAACACAGCGCAAGACAGCCCAACACACCCACGTAAACACATCACATGACAGCCCAATACACCCACGTAAACACAGCACATGACAGCCCAATACACCCACGTAAACACAGCACAAGACAGCCCAACACACCCACGTAAACACAGCACATGACAGCCCAACACACCCACGTAAACACAGCGCAAGACAGCCCAACACACCCACGTAAACACATCACATGACAGCCCAATACACCCACGTAAACACAGCACATGACAGCCCAATACACCCACGTAAACACAGCACAAGACAGCCCAACACACCCACGTAAACACAGCACAAGACAGCCCAACACACCCACGTAAACACATCACATGACAGCCCAACACACCCACGTAAACACAGCACAAGACAGCCCAACACACCCACGTAAACACATCACATGACCGCCCAATACACCCAGGTAAACACAGCACATGACAGCCCAATACACCCACGTAAACACAGCACAAGACAGCCCAACACACCCACGTAAACACATCACATGACAGCCCAACACACCCACGTAAACACAGCACAAGACAGCCCAATACATCCACGTAAACACAGCACATGACAGCCCAATACACCCACGTAAACACAGCACATGACAGCCCAATACACCCACGTAAACACAGCACAAGACAGCCCAACACACCCACGTAAACACAGCACATGACAGCCCAATACACCCACGTAAACACAGCCCAACACACCCACGTAAACACAGCACAAGACAGCCATACCCATCCACATAAACTAACACACAACACAAGACAGCCATACACACCCCCATGTGAATAACAATCATCACCCGTCACCTTAAAGCCCTCATAGGCAGGAGTAACTCTGAGCAGCTTCTCCATGCGCATAATGTTAGCGAGGAGGACCTTGAAGACCAGCATGTCCTCCTCCTTCTCCACGTACTCGATGACGTCCAGAGCAGTCTTGTAGGAGAGATGTCCTGGAGAAGCAACTGGTTTAGAAAATGAATATGTTATACAGTGTGATACATAGTATTTAAACAGTGACACAATGTTGTTTTGGCTCTGTGTTCCAGCAAGCTGTATGTTAAATGAAATAGTCCCATTAAGGTTAAGGTGCAGGTTTTCAGCATTAATTTGAGGATATTGAAATTAATATCGAATGGACCGAATAGGAATTACACTTTTAAAAAGTGCCGCTAATTCAAGGGGACTAAATGTAAATGTACACATAAAAATACTGGTTAAAAAGTCGTTATATCTAATAGTAAGTTGCAAATTTTCGGCATGCGTTGACTTCGTGAAGTCTGCGACCCATTGACAACATCAAATGACGGGTGTCTTTCCAATTGATGCTCTGCAGGGTCTCTTCTGCCGTCATCTTCAAATCCTGAGCACTGCGGGGCTGTTCTGCCCTCAATTGCGCATCCTCAAGTGAAACCCATGCTCTGTTATGTTCAGGTTGGCAGATTGACTTGGCCAGTCAAGAACATTCCACTTTTCGGCCGTGAAATACTTCGTTACTTCATAAATATGTTTGTGGTCGGGATCCTGTTGCAAGGTGCAGCACCGTCTGGTGAGCTTAGAGGCATTTGGCTAGATCTGAGCTGGAATTACAGGCTTGATCCGTTCCTTGTATGTGGACGAGGCTGGACCTCTTGTATGTGGACGAGGCTGGACCTCTTGTGTGTGGACGAGGCTGGACCCCTTGTGTGTGGACGAGGCTGGACTCGTTTGTATGTGGACGAGGCTGGACCTCTTGTATGTGGACGAGGCTGAACCTCTTGTATGTGGACGATGCTAGATCCCTTGTGTGTGGACGAAACTGGATCTCTTGTGTGTTTTTCTTTTCAACATGTTCAACAGACACATCTCATGCACATCCCTTCTCTCCCCCATTAGACAAATGCGATCAAACTTACCAGCCAGAGCAAGTTCGAGAGCATCACCAATTAGCTGGCCTCTGTTAAGGACATGTATAACTGTGTGGTCAGTGAGGAGCTGCTTCACGATCAGGTTCCAGTTGTGCAGGTCGTAGGTGACCCTGTAGTAACCTGCTCTCTTCACGTTGAATATGACCCACTGGTCCTTGCTGGGCAGGGCTGGGACCGTGACCTGGGACTCAGTGCTCCTCATCCACACTCGGGGCTGGGTGTGGTTGAAGTCCAGTTCGCTCCGGCTGGTGAAGCTCAAGGGAATCCACCATTTAGGGAACTCGTTCACGGTAAAGTTTTTATCCGTTCCCAGTAACAACTTTTCCTGAAATAAATGATGCATTAGAGAACTGGGTCCTTATATTTATACATTGATATAATATCCCCAATCACTTGGGCCGGACGGTAGACTTGCAACGGTCTCGCTTCATGCATTTCGGCGTTCAATCCTCGACGGTCCAAGTGGTTTGGCACCATTCCTTTCCACCCGTCCCATCCCAAATCCTTATCCTGACCCCTTCCAAGTGCTATAAAGGCTATAAAATTTCCCTTCCCTTCAATATAATATTTTTTTTATCCAATGCATTCACTACAAGTGCTCTGAGAATATATGCCGAATTTTGAGAACATTACAAAATCAATAGTTTCTCGTTCTTGGAAACCAAAATGGCATTGTCACAATACATTATCTGTTAAATGAAGATCAGATAAAATTAAGAAAAATAATAGCAGTTATCACAGCCACGACAGGCCTACACCAGGTAGGCCTACATCAGCAGAAGTGAAGAAATGTGTTCCTTTAACACAGAGCAAATGAGTATTTCGTGTCAATGACCGACAATAGAGTTTACCAATAAATTGTCCAACTAAATTGCATTTTAGCTATAAAATAACGAAAAGCTTTCACAACTTTGTTACGATTTAAAAAAATCAAATATTATGAAGACTTTTACAGTCATACACAAAATCCAGGCCAATAACACTAATATATTCAACATGACATTGTATATGATTACCACTGAGGAGACCAGAAGAACAACAGGTACACTAAGCCAAGATTCGTTCATGAGCCCAATGTCATTAGACCATAAGAATGGCAGTAACTGCAGAAGGCCCATTCAACCCAAGTGTTTATATCCATTAAACTCACATCTATAGGTCTAGCAGACACGATCATGTGTCTATTATATAACCTAGTAATTTGCTCCATAAATTATCAATCCAATTTTCAAACCAGTATTTACCCAGATCTTTGTTGAATTTAAGCTTATTCAACCTGCATCATTGTTTCGCGGTCTGTTTCCGTGTTGATATACTTATCGCTTTATTATCATCATCCCCTCTGTTTTATCCTTTCGTCAACTGGAATTCTTCAGACATGTCATCCTTCACTCGTCGCGTGTTAAGAGTGCATATTGAATAGTGATCAATTTCTCACCATTGTATACTATGGAGCCAGAAACTTAGCAACATAAGAGGGCCAAGATAAAGTTAAAGAATAAGATGTATTATATGTTAACACCTCTAGTTATCATTCTAGTTGTCTATTGGTTTTATTTTGGACATTTATACATTGATATCTTGGCTTTAGATCCTAATGATGACTACGAATTAGACATCCAGATCTATTTAGCATTCATATTTGTCATTTCCATATTGTTTAGCTTGTATCTGGTAACTATTATAGCTTATAATAGTTTATTACAGATAGTAGTTTATCTGGTAACTATTATAGCTTTCCAGAATTAGAACCTTATACTTGTCAGCATTCAATTACATTTGCCAATTTTCCTATTATTAGCCCATCTAATAAATCAAATTTGAGTCTTCTGGCCATATTTATCACCATAATTTTGTCATTGGCAAATTGGGCAATGTGTGGTGCCCACTGACTTGGTAGACGGTGGCAGAGGTGCCAGTGGTGCCCACTGACCTGGTAGACGGTGGCAGAGGTGCCAGTGGTGCCCACTGACCTGGTAGACGGTGGCAGAGGTGCCAGTGGTGCCCACTGACCTGGTAGACGGTGGCAGAGGTGCCAGTGGTGCCCACTGACCTGGTAGACGGTGGCAGAGGTGCCAGTGGTGCTCCTGACCACCGTGATGACGGGGTAGCCGGCCTGCAGCGTCCAGGGCTCCATCACCATCTTCACGCTGACACCCAGGGGCAAGGCTGCGTCGTGGCGCGCGGCCACCGTCAAGTGCCGCCACAGGTCGTCCTGGTCCGCGTTCTTGTACTGGCTGTAAACCACAGCATTCTTGATCTTATCGAATAGTGAAGAGAGTGCTTATTCAATATGACTAAATTAGCACTTGGAAGGGAAGGGAGTTATCAAGGGGGGAAAGCGCCAAACCATTACGATTATATAGCACTGGGAAGGGAGGGTCAGGATAAGGATTTGGGATGAGACGGGGGTAAGGAATGGTGGCCAAAGACTTGTATGGTCGGGGATTGATCGCCGACCTGCATGAAGCAAGACCGTCGCTCTACTGTCCATCCCAAGTGGTTGGGCATGATAGCAGAGAAAGAGTGTTGGATCATTTGATTGCTCATTATTAAAGAGGATAAAGTGGCACCTTGAGGTATTCTCTTACAACAAACTGCTGATTTACTCTGCAGCCGTGACCACATGTTGTGATTTGGCGATGAACCAAGATTGAATGATAATAAGAGAGATCAATAACTTCACAATATTAACTCACCATCCACGGAGAAAGTTCGTCAAGCCCTTCCTGAAAGTTTGCTCGGATAGGAAGTGTTTCATCATATGGATGACTGAGGAACCTGTGAGGCCAGCACAACATTCATATTAGTACACAGAGAAATCCTATTAACGTGATATATCAATGAACACAACCAACAAGAGCCTTGATGAGGGTTCGAACCTATGTCCTGGGTTTTCCTATGAACTTATGTCGTGGTGCAGTCGACTAGAGCGCGCCTGGGAACACCCAACGCATAGGTTCGAACCCTCGTCAAGGCTCTTGTTGGATTTGTTCATTCATATTAGTACTAGTAAAATCATTAGTACTTCTCTCAGCCTCCTTAATCAGAGTCAACACTTTACCCCCGAGTTGCCCCAGAAACACAGGGACCTTCGTCGCTAACCCGAGGTCCTGAGGACCTCGGTTCTGAGGACCTCGTCAACAACTCTCTTAGGCGCCATTTTGGCCACAGCCTTATAATAAATTTACAAGTAAATCGTGTCTCTCGCACTTTAACTCATAACGAAAAGTATTTTCTGGGCCGTCTAGTGTCTCCTTAGGGTGGGAACAAACAACTCTTGATGTGGGAATGGACAGAACTAGATGGCGATCCCAACAATGGATAGATAGATACGCAGATCTATGATGGGTGGATGGATGGATAGATATATGGATATATGGATGGATGAAGAGCTGGTAGATAGTCAGACAGTCCCAGGAAACCTCCGTAATATATATAATTTTACTTTGTTTTTATTATTACCGCCATCTGAGGCAAGTGCACCCCTTATTCACCCGGTGAGAGGACGTGCACAAGGATGCCAGAAGACACAAAATTGTCTCACACCTCAGTGGAGGTTGTTTGACATTAGCTTGAACTATTTATCTGCACATCATATATTAATTACTATGATAATTAATAACACAACTTGCACTGTAACTCCTCCGGATGACACTATAAAATACAATGAAGCTAAGCCATTTCGGTACTACTTAACATAATTGTTTAAAAAAAGGATATAATTTCAGGCAACAAAGCTATATGATTAATGACTTACCCTTAAAGTATGAGATGGCATCAAACAGGTCCCATATTTCTTCTGGGTTGAAGACAGGCACTCGTATTTCGTGAGAAGATGGCTCGTGGTCTATATAGAGAGTGTTTTCGATAATATGAAACATCTCTCTCTCTACCGAAACTGTTGATGGCGTTAGCTGTGAGGGTCAGAGTAATGAAATTAATGTCACTTTTTTCTAGGGTGTCATAACAATATACTTAATTTGTACATATATCTCATCCTACCATTTTGAGAATAACCATGTTATGTTTACAACTGAATAGTTGTGTGTATTTCCCGCTTTAAGAAACATTTTTGAAAGAAAGATGTAACCCTCTTCTCAGTCTATTTGTCACAGAATTTATTTTGGCCCAGAACTATGTTGACGGCTACAGTTTATGAGGACGGGCACCTGACAGCTGGGTGGACAGCACTTCAGATTCGTAGTCTTGAGGTTCCTGGTTCGATCCCCGATGGAGACGGAGACAAATGGGCAAAATGTTTCTTTCACCCTGATGCCCCTGTTACCTAGCAGTAAATAGGTACCTGGGAGTTAGACAGTTGCTATGGGCTGCTTCCTGGGGGGGTGTGTAACGAAAAGGAGGCCTGGTCGAGGACTAGGCCGCGGGGACGCTAAGCCCCGAAATCATCTCAAGATAAGTTACCTTGCGATGATTTTGGGGCTTAGCGTCCCCGCGGCCCGGTCCTCGACCAGTTCTCCTGGTTGCTGGACTGGTCAATCAGGCTGTTGTATGCGGCTGCTCGCAGCCTCACGTATGAATCACAGCCTGGTGTATCAAGTCACAGCCTGGTGTATCAAGTCACAGCCTGGTGTATCAAGTCACAGCCTGGTGTATCAAGTCACAGCCTGGTGTATCAAGTCACAGCCTGGGGTATCAAGTCACAGCCTGGTTGATCAGGTGATCAAGCCGTTCGGGCGGCCATAACGCACACATGAACAAGGTGTTGACTAACATTGCTGACAGAGAGGTACTGGAGGTAGGAGGCGAAGCCTTCACTGAGCCAGAGGTCGGTCCACCACCTGGGCGTGACCAGGTTACCGAACCACTGGTGGGCCAGCTCGTGGGCCAGCACGTACGTCACTAGGGCTTTGTGGGAGTCGTCGTCCACCGCTGGGTCGTACGTCATCGCTTTCTCACTGACCATATACATAGATAAAATGGAAAGTGTTAGTAAATATTTTTTTATTGCACTAATAATAATTGAAACAAAAAAGTCTGGATTTAACAGCACTAATCCCGTTACAAATAGCATCATCATCAATAATAAAAATATATACACATAATAATAGTAATATATGCAAATAATAATAATAATAATATTGGTGAAATTACAGAAAATATTTAATAAAAATGCTTTATATTGGTCAGAACACCTTTACTTGACGTTTTTCTTGGGGGGTCAGAGAAACAAACACAGTTTTGGTCTGACGTTGGTCGTTAATTTTTTTTTTTATTCAGGTGTGTACAGGAACAGATAACATCTCTAGCAGGCTGCAAGCTCTTCCCTTCATAATTAGAAATATTGTTCAGCCCTTATGTTTTATATTATATATATATATATATATATATATATATATATATATATATATATATATATATATATATATATATATATATATATATATATATATATATATATATGTCGTACCTAGCAGCCAGAACGCACTTCTCAGCCTACTATGCAAGGCCCGATTTGCCTAATAAGCCAAGTTTTCATGAATTAATTGTTTTTCGACTACCTAACCTACCTAACCTAACCTAACCTACCTTTTTCGGCTACCTAACCGAACCTAACGTATAAAGATAGGTTAGGCTAGGTTAGGTAGGGTTGGTTAGGTTCGGTCATATATCTACGTTAATTTTAACTCCAATAAAAATAAATTGACCTCATACATAATGAAATGGGTAGTTTTATCATTTCATAAGAAAAAAATTAGAGAAAATATATTAATTCAGGAAAACTTGACTTATTAGGCAAATCGGGCCTTGCATAGTAGGCTGAGAAGTGCGTTCTGGCTACTAGGTACGACATATATATATATATATATATATGTAAGTAGTTCCGTGATTTGGGTGTTCATGGTAGGTATACCATGAACTACCATGCTACTATACCATGAGTATTTTTAGTTTTCTTCCAAAATAACAGAAATAATTTGTAAAAAAAAAAAACATTAAAATGTTTCTAATATTGATTGCAGAATCATAAAGGAAACTTAAAGAGCAGTAACACTGGACTCCTAAACACAGCTGTGGTAAAACATGGTTTAGGGTATGGACAACTGCCAAGTTCCCAGCAAGGAAGATTGTTCAACAATTTCCACGATCAGAAAATTGCCAAAAAATCAATTACTTTTATAGTAAAAAATTTTTAGTGATAGTTCATTGTATAATAATATTTTTCAAGTTTGATAACATAGGGCATCCATTTTTTGCAGGTTAAAATGTTATTGATGCAAGTTGACATGTATAGCAAGATTTTTATAAATTTATATTTATGTATATCATATAAAAATAAACTACATTTTGTCAGAAATTAGAAGGAAAATTTGACCGAGTCATTTCTATGTTAAAAATGTTGTTAAGAGAAAGATTAAAGAGCATAAGCCTTACTCATAATAAATGATAATACCCCAGCCCTCGAAAGCACTGCCTATGATTCTTGGCAGCGCCACGAGGTCGAGCTTGGGCAAGGAGAAGGGCACCCCGAAGTAATTCTCGAAGAAGGCGAGCATTCTGGGCGCCTCCTGTTGCACAAGGGAAGTCGTAGGCAACGTCTCCGGCCGCCCCCACACTGTTCAGGAGGAGATTATGCAGTCAGTACTCTCCACACCTTCTTCCTGGGGCTTAGGGAATTAACAAACATTGTGTGTACAAAATGAAGGGAAACTATCTTCCTGTGACGATTCGAGAAAGGAACCTGTGTAAACGTAACACCGAATCTAATTCCAGAAGCACGTACAAATCGGATAACGACAGCAGCGAATTCTGCGCTAGCAAAAGTTAGAACGTTATTCAGAAACCCAAGTAAGGGGGGGGGGGGTATGCAGAGCGCTTTACACTGCCTACATAAGACCTGTCTTAGAGTATGCAGCCTCATCACTAAGCACTCCCCTCCCCCCCCCCCCCACCTAAAGAAACACATTAGGAAACTGGAAAAGGTTCAACAACTTGCGCCGAGGTTAGTCCCGGAGTTGCATGGGATGAGATATGAAGAGCGACTGAAGGAACTGAACCTGACGATGTTAGAAAAAAGGAGGGAGCGGGAAGATATGATAGCAACATATAAAATACTTAGGGTGATTGACAGAAAGAAAAATAGACGAAATGTTCACACGGAATACCAACAGAACAAGGGGACATGGGTGGAAACTCAGATGAGTCACAGAGATGTTGGAAAGTTTTCTTTTTGTGAGAGAGTAGTTGAGAAATCGAATAGACTAAAGGAGCACATTGTTGAAGCAAACACTATTCATAGCTTTAAACTAGGTACATTATATATATATATATATATATATATATATATATATATATATATATATATATATATATATATATATATATATAATCACCCTAAGTATTTTATATGTATGTCTAGGTACATATAAACTAGGTACATTATATATATAATGCCGGTCGGCATTAGCCGGTCGGCCGAGCGGACAGCACGCTGGATTTGTGATCCAGTGGTCCTGGGTTCGATCCCAGGCGCCGGCGAGAAACAATGGGCAGAGTTTCTTTCACCCTATGCCCCTGTTACCTAGCAGTAAAAATAGGTACCTGGGTGTTAGTCAGCTGTCACGGGCTGCTTCCTGGGGGTGGAGGCCTGGTCGAGGACCGGGCCGCGGGGACACTAAAAAAAGCCCCGAAATCATCTCAAGATAACCTCAAGAATGTACCAAGTTTAAAGCTATGAATTGTGTTTGCTTCAACAATGTGCTCCTTTAGTTCATTCCATTTCTCAACTACTCTCACACAAAAGAGAAAACTTTTTATTAATGTTTTAACTTTAAAATTTTATATAATTAAAATATAATTAATAATATAATTAAAAAACTTTTATATGATGTTTCATTGTATATGAAACAACACTACATATTCCGTGTTGATTATTTTCTTGTTTAGGGCTTCCGTTCCTCTCAGATGTGCTCCTGCATGTTGGTTTAATTGGATTGCTCCAAATGTCATATTTGTTCAAGATTAACTAAAATAATGAAAATTAACTCTAGAATGTGTTATACTTGTTAGAGAGTAAAGTACACCCACCTGTGATGGGAACACCACCGGGATTGGGGACGTGGACATACTGGAGAGGGGACACGATGAGGACGAGGACATAGGTGGACATGGGAGGGCTGGTCACGAAGTGGTCCACCACCCACCCTTCCTCACCTTCCCTGAAGTGCGGAGGAAATACCTTTTAATATTCCATATATGTCGTATCTTCTGCTCGGCCAAAATCCTTGCTTACATGGACTCATTGTCCTGTTGAAATATAAATATCTTTATACATCCTAGAAAGGAAAATAATCTCCAAAAATACATTCACTACATCATGAAATTCATCGAGAAGAAAAGATGGACAGTAAAATTCACACAAAGTTTTCCCCCCTAAATAATGCATTTCAAACATATAAACCTGAACTTAAAAAAAAATCGTATTAACTATAATTTCTTAGTTTTACAATATTAATCTTGGGCCTTCAGCAAAACCTGAAGGGGATTACCTATGATTTCCACTTTGAATAGTTTTCAATTATAAATAACAACGGCCTCCCATGCAGCTGTTGTTGTTGTTTTAGGTTCAGCTTCTCGGAACAAGAAGTTCCAAGTAGCACGGGCTGTGGTGAGCCCGTAGTGGACTTACCTGGCACAGGAGCGGGGCAAGTAGCACGGGCTGTGGTGAGCCCGTAGTGGACTTACCTGGCACAGGAGCGGGGCAAGTAGCACGGGCTGTGGTGAGCCCGTAGTGGACTTACCTGGCACAGGAGCGGGGCAAGTAGCACGGGCTGTGGTGAGCCCGTAGTGGACTTACCTGGCACAGGAGCGGGGCAAGTAGCACGGGCTATGGTGAGCCCGTAGTGGACTTACCTGGCACAGGAGCGGGGCTGTAACTGTCTTCCATGCCTGGCAGTAGTCAGCTGCCACGCACTCCACCTCCAGTACACCTCTATAGTGACGACCGTAAATAAGGTTCGTCAACAGTTCAACAAGTTAGTGGTATCTAGGAACCGGATTCCACGTTTGCACTCGAGTGGTCAATATAGTTCCAGTCATGCACTTGTGCAAATTGATTGCATGTAAATGTGTGTGTTTATACCTTCTGGCTCCGCCATTTGTCACGTTACGCAGTTTGTAACTGACAGGTAATAATTTGTTGCCGCTCTCATGAGTGAAAATAGGTCGCATATAACTCATGCGGCTGTAATAAGCGTCTATATTCATCCCTGTTAGACATGATATAGTGTCCGTAAGGCAGGAACAGAGACTATGATAGTATTGAATCAACTCTCCTGGAGCTGTAGGCTGGGTTAACAAATATGGCCGCCAAGTGGCATCACATAACGCTCTTTAGACATAATATTATCACCACCTCTTTTTCTCTCTCTCTCTCGCTCTCTTTCACACCCTCATAGACACCCTGAAATTACAGTAACGTAATAACGTGATATATCCATGAAAAAATGGTTGAAGCAGGCCGAAGGGATGGAAGCAGCGTCCTGGGCCAGCGCGGACACCGCCTTATCAATACTCACGACATTCTAAACCTCACACAACCAGGAGTCCGTCCTGGTCGTACTGGGGGACTCTGGCGACACACACGCACGGTGCCTCCTGCTACAAAGATTTTCACACACACAACGATGGCTTTTCACGACCAAAAATCACATTCACTCCCATAAATCTACCATTTGCCGGCTATTCATGCCCGTGTCACCTCTTGTGGTGGCTTTATCTTCATCAATCAATCAATCAACCATGACTGTCGTCACAGCTCACCTGGGAGTCGTGTTTAGGAGAGGCATGTTGGAGAGGGCCGTCATGTTGGTCTCCCTGGCTACGTGGAGCTCGAAGGTGGCTTTGAGGGCGGGCTCGTCGAAGCATGGAAAGGCCTTCCTGGCGTCGGTGGCCTGGAGCTGCGTGCTCACCAGGCGTCTGGAGAGGGAGCCTCGAGGTTATCACCAGACCATACTTGACGGAGTACGAGCAAGAGCTCGAAGTGAAAAGATATTTTCTATCAGAGAAAATTAAGAAACTGAAGGATGGATAAAAGAAGCTGGAGAAAGCTGTCTTACTTACCTGCAATGTATCATAATATATTGTAAATTAGTAGATAAAGCAGTAAAAAAAAAAATCTTTCTAGTTGTAAGAAAGAATGATGTAAGAAAAGATGAAACATTAGGTTTAAAAGCAAGATAAATGACATTGGTCAATGTGAGAGAAAGTTTAGCTTTAAGTATTAAGTGTTAGTAAAAGCTTGGCATAGGATTAGTTACACACAAGAATACATGTACTCATGGTTCCTGTGTTTACAATGGTGGAGAGAGATGGACGCAGGTGCTGTAGGCTCTGACAAAATGTTTTTCGCTAATGCCAGAGCATACAGCATGGTGTGTCGTGACCCCTGGTGTGTCGTGACCCCTGGTGTGTCGTGACCCCTGGTGTGTCGTGACCCCTGGTGTGTCATGACCCCTGGTGTGTCGTGACCCTTGGTGTGTCGTGACCCCTGGTGTGTCGTGACTCCTGGTGTGTCGTGACCCCTGGTGTGTCGTGACCCCTGGTGTATCGTAGACCTGATGTGTCGTAGCCCTGTTGTCGTGACCCTGGTGTGTCGTGGCCATTGTGTTTTCCCAGAGTAACATGACTGAAAACCCTCAGCGCCTGCCCTCTACCTCACGAACCCAAAAGGTTCTCCCCAATCCCTCACCGACGTACAAGTCTCTCCCCCCACCCCCCCACCTCTCTCTCTCATATACGCAAAAGTTCTCTCACTTCTCTCACCAGCGTGCTCTTGCCTCAGCACTTACCTCTTGGTACCGTCGCTGTCAGTGTACTCGACACCATAGAACCCCGAAGACTCGTGGGAGAGGGTAGCCACGTAGCTCATGGAGTAGCGTAACCTCCGGCCGGGGAGGAGCTGTCCCGTCAGGTGAGCCGTGAAGAACTGTCGGGAGACGTCGACGGTGAAGTGCTTGATCCCAGGGACACGCTCCTCTCCTCTCTCTCCTTGTTCTCTTGTGCCTGGTGTCTCCTCTTTCACTGCTACCAACTGGTTGAGGTAGTAATTAGGTAACTAGGTTACATGTTGCAATAAATCGTCGCAATAAATGTGCTGAAAGGGTTTTACAATTGGTAAGGTTAAAGAAACAGAAAAGTTAGTAAAAAATCAGTTTAGATGCGATAGTTTTACATGCTAAGTACTATCATTTTAGGAGGATAGGCTGGCCAGAAAGGCAGTAGCCCTCAGCTCCATGTCTGAACCAGATGAGATTGTGCACTGAAGCTGGACGAACGTAGGTTTGCTTGCAATTCTAATAGTATTCTTAAGTTCTTAGGTTTAACAAGTGCACGGGATAAGTTATATAAGAACGTTATCTGTGATTCAGAACAATTTCATAGCGAGTTATTGAGGTTTTGCTTGCAACCTCATATTCACTGCCATTACCCAAGCTTAATTAATTACTGATTATTTTATTCAAGTTTTCTTTGATTACAAGTTTGTACCTTATTACACTCGGCTATCCTCTATACCGGGGCGGGTTATTAATGGAACAGTGTTGTTCAGTTTTAGTGTAAAATTAGCCAGAATAGTTATGTCTGTAATACATTGTTATTATATCTCTAGATAAGCTCTGGGTCTTATCTCCCGATGTCTTTCTAAATCATTTTCCTCCTGACAGCCCTAATGATAAATTAAAATATTTAGAGAAGAACTGAATTGGCCACAGAGTATATAATAATACTATAATTGTATACAATTCAAACACTATAGTAAACTAAGAGCTTGTGATACCCTTTGTATACAGTAGGACATCCGCACTCATTTGACGATGTATCTTCTAAGTTTATTACTAAGAAAAGAGCGCGCGCTCGCTGCTGAGCGGCTCCCCTCGAGGTCAACCTCAGAGGAGTCAGTGAGAGTTCATCACTAGACGAGCGTAACACATCCCGGGTGCCCATCACTGGGGTGTGCCCATCACTCTGGCCATGTTGCCTGAAGGGATGAAGTTCAATGAACACGTTAGTAATAGGTGGTCGTGTGGCGGTGGTTTATGCATTCTATAATACACCGTCCAGCCGGAGGACCAAGTAATAAGGGGCAGGGGGCCCGGTGAGGGGCAGGGGGTCCGGTGAGGGGCAGGGGGCCCGGTGAGGGGCCAGGATATGCCAGGTGAGTGAAGGGACGTGAGGGGCAGGGGGCCGGATGAGTGAAGGACCGCCAGAAAGTGTTGCAGCATTATACAACACCCAATTTTTCCCCACTTGTTAATACTCAATAAAAGGCAACGAAAAACGTGCAACATTTGGCGGTCTTGAGATATGTACCACCTTGAGGTAGTTTTATATATAAAAAAAATGGTGCAAGTGCGTGACAATTTCAAATAAAAAATTGGTTTAGATCTTTTATGGAACATTATATAAGAATGAAACGTTATAAAAACTATTAACTATTTTCAAAAGCTTGCCTCAATGAAAGATGCATTATATCATAAGGTCTGAGTAGGAGCAACTGGTCTTCCCACAGCCAACTCCTCCCCTTCTGTCTATGGTTTTCTCCAAAGCGCCTTGGTCTAAAACGCGTTTTCACTCACCTTCGCGGAGCTCGTCTGGATGGTCATATTCAGAGCATGCAAGGTTATATTGGACGTGGGCTCCAACACTTCCACCTCCACCTCCATGAACCCGTGGATGGAGTAGTTGCCGTTGATGAAGGGCTGAACCTTGATGACGTAGTGGATGGGCCTCAACGACTTCGGTAAGAAATAATCCTTTCTCTTTTCCACCGCTTCATCCTTTCCAACCGTGATCACTAGGACCCCTGGGTCCTCAGTGACCCCTGGATCCTCAGTGACCCCTGGATCCTCAGGGACCTTTGAGTCCTCAGCGACCCCTGGGTCCTCAGCGACCGCCGGGTACTCAGCTGCGGTGTTAATAAAATGTGATGGGGAGTTATTGGTGGTTAATGAAAGATCAGGTGATCCTGAAGGCGTGGACGCCGTAGCTCCTGCAGTTGTCCCCGGATGGCTGACAGACGAAGTCCTGTTCCAGCCGAAGTTGTCCAGTGGTTCTAACTGAAAATGATAATCGTTTTTAAATATAAGGGTTGTAGGACAGGTATACTGAGGTGTAAAGAGTTATAATAATAGGTGCATTGAGATATGAAAGAGATAAGAGAGACAGATATGAGAGAAAATAATTACCACCACTTTAATTACATTTATAATAAACGGGCCCAGTGCCCCCTTAATTGTTGTTTTTTTATGTATTGATCAGTGGATGGGCGTTGATGCCTTGTATGTTGACTTTAGTAGAGTTCTGACCAATGTGTTAACATCATCATCTTAGTGGTAACCTTATATGGTTTGTAACTGCCCTGTGTTAGATAAGGTCTAGTAATCTCTGGTATTTCTCCACAATGCTGACATTTCCTCCTCCTCCTCCAGGAATGTTGAGTGATTGTTGCCGCCGGTGGCAACTAGTTTATTGAACACGCTATTCTCATCCTGTTAGCTGTAGCGTAACAAAAAAAGGGTTACAGAGGGCACAAAAAGTCTTAATCAGACCTCAATAAAGAATTTTAGATTAATAATTACATCTGACCTGCCCATCTTATCTGGAACCCATTAGCCTATTTCCCATACACGTGGGTATCCAAGCCTGATGTGGTGTAAGTACACTTCTTTTGTTCTCTTTCACGAAAATAAGCGTTTCATAATTGGGTTGTATTCTTGTACCTGTCCGCTGATCCTGAGGATATCTCAGGTGCTGAGTTGCCCATCTATTCCGGCTGGACGGTAGAACGACGGTCTCGCTTCATGCAGGTCGACGTTCAATTCCCGACCGTCCAAGTGGTTGGGCACCATTCCTTCCCCCCGTTCCATCCCAAATCCTTATCCTGATCCCTTCCAAGTGCTATATCGTCGTAATGGCTTGGCGCTTTCTCTGCTGAATTATGGTCCCTATTCATCTTCTGCATCGCTCTGTCTCTAATTATTTTTTAAGCTGTGCTAAAGGCCTGGTCGGAGACCGGGCCCCGGGGCTTTGATCCCTGGAACCTCCACAAGGTAGACTCTGAATTGTTAATGTCTATATTCCTCCTCTTATAGCTACATGTTATACAGCTTCATCTCCAACGTTATTCTCTGGTGTTCCTACATGACTTGACACCCACTTTATAAGTATTTAGTGACCTTGACGTTCGAGTGTTTATTAATGCTATAACTTTTGTATGTAAATTGTATTGTCACGTAATTGCACTGTTGCAAGGTTTCAACGGCCATTCTCGAATCTGTATGAAAGACAAAGTGTTGTCAGTTTTCAGCCAGAGCATAGTCATAACACCTTAGTAGGTGTTTTGTAGGCAAGTAGTAGTAGGCATCTTAAAAACGGGAGACAATGGAGTTGGGCTCTGGTTGCCGAGGCTGGAGTGTCCTCTCTAAGGCACAAAGCCTGGCTAGGTCGATATGGAGGAGAAGCTGTTACCCATACAGCAGGTCCCCCTTCTCCACGTTGCTGTAATTGTCCAATGGAAAGGCAAACGCCAATACGCTTGGTTCCAGCGCCGTCGCAGGAGCTGCCAGAGCGAGGTTGAACTAAATAATTTTAACTATAACTATAGAATTCTCTACTTTAACCGTAGCTCAAGAGTCTTGTCTCTGCTGGTCTACTGATTAGTCTGTGAAGCATGTGAAGCTGTCAGATGCCAAGTTTGCTTCTATATTCACCTGTGCAATGATTCTCAGGCAGTTGGTAGTCTAACCCTTGGCCTTGCAACTTCTCAATCATGAACTCGGTCGAGATGAAAGGTGGCTAGCAGTGCCCCTAGTATTTGAGCACTAAGCACCACCGGGAATTCCATCTAACAACTGTTTTTAAAATATTAGTGATTACGAACTCTGAAATTCACACTTACTTTTGCATATATATATATATCTTTTTAACGGAAGTAACTCTGACAAGAAATATTTATTTAGATAGATGTAATGGGCAAGAAACCAGAGCCTACCATGTTCTCATATATCAAGGGGACGTGAAGTTCATCTCTGAACCGGCGAAAGGTAGTGGAGACAAGTCCCTCCGGCAGTAGCAGTAGGAGGAACCCGCGCCAGAGGCATACCGCTGATGGGGAAGTTCCATGGCCCCTGAGCATAACGGCGGCCTTAGTGGGCAGCGGGTTGCTTCGCCCTCTGGCCAGGCGAGTCTATTGTCGTACTAGTATATTTGAGTTTGTTCCTAGTGATGATGTTGATAAATTTGCTTCAGACGTTTGTTGCGTCGAGGACACTGCTTCCAGAACTGTAAATCAGAAACATAAGTAGTAAATCTGATTCAGTAGTACTGAATCAGTAATCAGTAGTACTGATTCAGGAAACAAATGCTGGCGGAATTAAATAATGTATATTCCTACACTTGTTTTGAAGACCACCAACGCATTCTCTGCACTGGAGGACGATTGTACGCGGGAGATTGTGGTTCGCTCCACAATGTAGTCAGAAGATTTTTAGCAGGATTCCAGCAGGAACGAAGCGACACGACAGGAAAGATTGGAATTTTTTAAATGTTGAGTGATTCTCAAATATGGAGACTTTTTTTCCCCCAAGGATGAGAAACTTTATATATATATATATATATATATATATATATATATATATATATATATATATATATATATATATATATATACATATATATATATATATGTCGTACCTAGTAGCCAGAACGCACTTCTCAGCCTACTATGCAAGGCCCAATTTGCCTAATAAGCCAAGTTTTCATGAATTAATTGTTTTTCGATTACCTAACCTACCTAACCTAACCTAACCTAACTTTTTCGGCTACCTAACCTAACCTAACCTATAAAGATAGGTTAGGTTAGGTTAGGTAGGGTTGGTTAGGTTCGGTCATATATCTACGTTAATTTTAACTCAAATAAAAAAAATTGACCTCATACATAATGAAATGGGTAGCTTTATCATTTCATAAGAAAAAAATTAGAGAAAATATATTAATTCAGGAAAACTTGGGTTAATAGGCAAATCGGGCCTTGCATAGTAGGCCAAGAATTGCATTCTGGCTACTAGGTACGACATATATATATATATATATATATATATATATATATATATATATATATATATATATATATATATATATATATGTATATAGGGGGGGGGGTACCACCTTTGGTGCAATTATAGGGACCCACAGCCTCAGAGAAGGGAACACAGAGCATTCAGGGAAAAACTTGCCATTTAACTCTGAATACGTAAGAGTGTTCGCTTCTCCTACCACCCCCCTTTTTTATGGTGTACACTTTATTATGCAAGGTTATACAGTTACATATCTGATTTTATACAAATATATATATATATATATATATATATATATATATATATATATATATATATATATATATATATATATATATATATATATATATATATGTCGTACCTAGTAGCCAGAACGCACTTCTATGCCTACTATTCAAGGCCCGATTTGCCTAATAAGCCAAGTTTTCATGAATTAATTGTTTTTCGACTACCTAACCTACCTAACCTAACCTAACCTAACGTTTTCGGCTACCTAACCTAACCTAACCGATAAAGATAGGTTAGGTTAGGTTAGGTAGGGTTGGTTAGGTTCGGTCATATATCTACATTAATTTTAACTCCAATAAAAAACAATTGACCTCATACGTAATGAAATGGGTAGCTTTATAATTTCATAAGAAAAAAATTAGAGAAAATATACTAATTCATGAAAACTTGGCTTATTAGGCAAATTGGGCCTTGAATAGTAGGCATAGAAGTGAGTTCTGGCTACTAGGTACGACATATATATATATATATATATATATATATATATATATATATATATATATATATATATATATATATATATATATATATATATATATATATATATATATATATATATATTTATTGATTCAAGTTAGCACTGGATACAAGTAGGAAAATGGTAGATGTTCCTCACATCGCTAAGCAAAGCTGGAAAGAGTTCAGAGATATGCCAAGATAGAACTCCTAGAGTTGAGAAGACTTGAGTTTCGAGAAAAACTAAAAGAATAAAGAAGAAAACAGGAGACATGATCACAACATACAACATTTCCGGGATAATACAATGCAAAGTATGTCGAGAATGGGCATTGCTCTATGAGGGAAAAATGGTGTAGGCAGACTATATACAGCTTTAAGGAAAATATGAGAGCCCAATAGGCTCTGGAACCAATACAATGATCGATTATGGTTCGAGAGGCATGACCTGAGAGCCGGAGTTCATCCCCCCTGCATGAATTTGACAAGCCGCCGACTTCCTGTCCTCGTCGAGGTCACTACTGTTATTGGCCTTCAGGTAAATTCAGATGTAAGTTCAGTACACACTTCTGAATTCACACTATTAAACAAACACTGGTGAATACAAACTGTTGGACACACTGATGAATACAAACTGTTGGACACACTGATGAATACAAACTGTTGGACACACTGATGAATACAAACTGTTGAACACATTGGTGAATACAAACTGTTGAACACACTGGTGAATACAAACTGTTGGACACACTGGTGAATACAAACTGTTGGACACACTGTTGAATACAAACTGTTGAACACATTGGTGAATACAAACTGTTGGACACACTGGTGAATACAAACTGTTGAACACATTGATGAATACAAACTGTTGGACACACTGATGAATACAAACTGTTGGACACACTGATGAATACAAACTGTTGGACACACTAATGAATACAAAGTGTTGGACACACTAATGAATACAAACTGTTGGGCACACTGATGAATACAAATTGTTGGACACATTGATGAACACAAACTGTTGGACACACTGATGAATACAAACTGTTGAACACACACTGATGAATACAAACTGTTGAACACATTGGTGAATACAAACTGTTGGACACACTGATGAATACAAACTGTTGGACACACTGATGAATATAAACTGTTGGACACCCTGATGAATACAAACTGTTGGACACACTGAGGAATACAAACTGTTGGACACACTAATGAATACAAAGTGTTGGACACACTAATGAATACAAACTGTTGGGCACACTGATGAATACAAACTGTTGGACACACTGATGAATACAAACTGTTGGACACACTGATGAATACAAACTGTTGGACACACTGATGAATACAAACTGTTGGACACACTGATGAATACAAACTGTTGGACACACTGATGAATACAAACTGTTGAACACACACTGATGAATACAAACTGTTGAACACACACTGGTGAATACAAACTATTGAACACACTGATGAATACAAACTGTTGAACACATACTGGTGAATACAAACTGTTGAACACATTGGTGAATACAAACTGTTGAACACATACTGGTGAATACAAACTGTTGAACACACTGGTGAATACAAACTGTTGAACACACACTGGTGAATATAAACTGTTGAACACACACTGGTGAATACAAACTGTTGAACACATACTGGTGAATACAAACTGTTGAACACACTGGTGAATTCAAACTGTTGAACACACACTGATGAATACAAAGTGTTAAACACACACTGATGAATACAAACTGTTGAACACACACTGATGAATACAAACTGTTGAACACATTGGTGAATACAAACTGTTAAACACACACTGGTGAATATAAACTGTTGAACACACACTGGTAAATACAAACTTTTGAACACTGTTGAATACAAACTACTGAACACACTGGTGAATACAAACTGTTGAATACACTGGTGAATTCAAACTGTTGATCACACACTGATGAATACAAACTGGTGAACACATACTGGTGAATTCAAACTGTTGAACACACACTGATGAATACAAACTGTTGAACACACACTGATGAATACAAACTGTTGAACACACTGGTGAATACAAACTGTTGAACACACACTGGTGAATACAAACTGTTGAACACACACTGATGAATACAAACTGTTGAACACACACTGATGAATACAAACTGTTGAACACACACTGATGAACACAAACTGTTGAACACACACTGATGAATACAAACTGTTGAACACACACTGGTGAATACAAACTGTTGAACACACACTGATGAATACAAACTGTTGAACACACACTGATGAATACAAACTGTTGAACACACACTGGTAAATACAAACTGTTGAACACACACTGATGAATACAAACTGTTGAACACACACTGATGAATACAAACTGTTGAACACACACTGGTAAATACAAACTGTTGAACACACACTGATGAATACAAACTGTTGAACACACACTGATGAATACAAACTGTTGAACACACACTGGTGAATACAAACTTTTGAACACTGTTGAATACAAACTACTGAACACACTGGCGAATACAAACTGTTGAACACACACTGGTGAATATAAACTTTTGAACACTGTTGAATACAAACTACTGAACACACTGGTAAATACAAACTGTTGAACACACACTGATGAATACAAACTGTTGAACACACACTGATGAACACAAACTGTTGAACACACACTGATGAACACACACTGTTGAACACACGCTGGTGTTGACGTAGCTTACTTAAAACAGTATTGGGGTCATATGGACGATGGGGCGCTTATGTGTTTTCTAATTTATTTTCCTCGATCCCGATATGTGATTATATTATTAAGCGAACACGATTCTATAACCGAGACTACGAGAGCTGAAGCTGGCTGCTCGCTGAGTGCTTAGACGTTACCTTACCTCTCCGTTGTTAGTTGGGAACTGGTGCCCTGACCTGCGTGTGTGAGCGTCAGGCTGCCCTACCCAAGCTGCCCTACCCAAGCTACCCTACCTTAACCCTGCTCACTAATGACCTCTAGCGTGCCCACGCAAACCAGTTTTCTTTATGAGTTAATGCCTGAGTGTGGGGTACAGGAGAAGCCACCCGCTGACTTAGGCTAGTAGACTGAGAGCTTTCCTTTCCCATAGAACCTCTCACGTTCCCACGACGGACTTTAAACGATGTACTAACACGCACCAACCTAACCGACCCTAACCTACCGACCCACGCATAGAAAACGAGATTATTCCCGAGTCGCTCTGATTTACAATAGCACCTTATTTGTCCGATGGGGATTTTGACGTCAATATGTGATATATTATTTGAGGCGACTGGCTACACCATAAGCCAATCGTTCCCTGGAACACGACCCGCAAATCGGTTAAGAACCAGATACCCAATTTCAACTGGGTGAACACGGGCGAACAGTTATAGTGACTACCGACCAATCAATCCTCCCGACCAGGATTCGAACTCGGACCATATCGTTGGCGGGGCGTCGAATCTGTTACCACGGCGCCACCATAGTGCTTGATAATGGCCCGCGATGGACCGAAACGTTGTCACTTAAAGTATTTGTGGACAAACCTGGAGATACGTCACACAACGTGGTGGATATGATCGCCAGGTGGTGGATATGATCGCCAGGTGGTGGATATGATCGCCAGGTGGTGGATATGACTGCCAGGTGGTGGATATGATCGCCAGGTGGTGGATATGATCGCCAGGTGGTGGATATGATCGCCAGGTGGTGGATGATTTAGGTTTAATGTTGAGGTTAAGGCTCGACCTCGACTAAATCAGTATTCTTTGGTCCTGAATCTAGTTATAAGTACTGGAGGAAACTGTATATTTACTGAGAAGCAGAGTATACCTCTCAGTATACATATCCCTGCGTCGCCAGAGTGTCGCTGCTCATTGGAGTGTAATAGTGTACCTGGATGTTAGCTGAGTGGTTGGTCGTGTCCCAGGGAAACTGGTGGGTAAGGCTTACCATGAGCTATGGATGGGGAAACGCTTTTAGCCTGCTAACAGGAGTCAGAAGTCGTTTGTTCACGTGTAGAAAAAAAAAAAAAAAAAAAAAAAAAAAAAAAAAAAAAAAAAAAAAAAAAAAAAAAAAAAAAAATATATATATATATATATATATATATATATATATATATGCAACAATGATCACAAAAACACTGATCCAAGTATGCAGAATAACCACATATGAAAAATAGAAAATGCTTAACGCGTTTTCGGCTAATTCGCCTTCATCAGAGCAAAGTAGAATGAAGAAGTTTGCTGATCAGACCTTTATATCCGCCTGGGCAGATCACCTGACCACCAAAAATAAGTGGAGGAAAGGAATTATAAGAAAGAAGGTAACTGCAGAAGGCCTATTGGCCCATACAAGGCAGCTCCTTTTAATATCTCCAAGTGCCATACGTGTTTAAATGATTGCTATATTGTTTTGACGTGCTATATTGAGGCTTAAATAGGGATCCAACTTGTACATACCGGGGCTCACATTAAGGCTGTTGTTACAATGTTTGATCAGAGCAGACTCGATCACGTTTCGTTCAACAAAATCCTTACTTTTAACAATACATTTTGCCCCTGTGAAGTCGATAGAATGATTACATAAACTGGAATGTAAATACAATGCACTGGATTGCTGGGCTGTACGAATAGCGTATGAATGCTGTTTTAAACGCGAGGAAAGAGATTTACCTGTCTGGCCGATGTAAACACATGCACACTCATTACAAGGGATGGAATACACACAACCTGCTACAGACGAGGGCGAGTTCTTAATTAACATGGACTTAACTGTATTATCATTTTTGAACAATTCTTCATTCTACTTTGCTCTGATGAAGGCGAATTAGCCGAAAACGCGTTAAGCATTTTCTATTTTTCATATGTGGTTATTCTGCATATATATATATATATATATATATATATATATATATATATATATATATATATATATATATATATATATATATATATATATCGCTGTGAGTTGCTACGCAGTTGATTCACAACCGAATGAACCCTAGTTCGACTCCCGGACACGTCTAAACATTTAGATAAGTTTCCTTAAACCATATGCCTCTGTTTCCCCAAACAATAGATAGGTACTCTTGGATTTTGGTGACTGTTGTGGGAGGCAGCATGGGCAAGGTCAGTAGCTGGCCTATGGGAAACCTCGATGAGCCTAAAATGCTGCCTGTCCCCGACAATGGAACATTATATAACAGTAATTACCGCAACAATAGATAAATAAGATTACCTACAAAGAATTCATATCCCATATATGAGATACATCAGTTAAAGGGGGAAGGAGGGTACATTAAGGTAATACCTGAAACATTATTATCACGATCAGAAAAAGAGAAGGAATAGAGTAGATATGATCACTTCATACAAGATACTGAGGGGAATATATACAAGATGGCCAAGGACAGTCTTTATAAATTTATAGAAAATTGTGCAAGAGGAACATACGTGGAAGTTTGAAAAGTAAATGAGAATATGAAACATGTAGTGAAAAAGTGAAATAAAAATTCAGGAAGAAGTCGTGGAAGCCACCTCCACTAATACCGCCAAGACCACTTGCCTAGACATCCTCCACTGTTCTTGCACCCAATGTATGTATGTACTTTTGTCTAAATAAATGATTATAATTACCTTTTTTATTACCAGTCAAGAAAGTTGAGAGAGAAGCCATCATAGCGGGTACACAAGCGCGCTTCCTCTACACCATTCACAGGTAAGCAGTGTTAGGTACAAGTGGCCGCCTCTCGCTCCTCCCCGGCGGACTTGGAGTGCATGGAGCGTCCACTGACGAGGTTAACGGCCGAACGTGACCGCCAGAGCGCCCCGCGGCCACCAGCCTCACCCTGTCGCCATCAACACCTCACACAAGAATCTCACAGTAAACTATTGTTTACGTGGCGGATGTTCGCGTTGAAGCCCATGTATGGCGCCCGTTCATCATTGTATTTCACTTTAAACGTTAACTACATGAATGACGGTCGTTACCGGAACACTAATTATAGCACCACTGATCACTTTCAGGATCAGAGTGAGGTCTTGGCCTCGACGCTCCGTGAGCTACGCTGAAGGGACGTCCCGTCTGCATGGTACACAGCCCGTCCTTTTGAGCCTTCACAGCACCACTCATCTGATGTACCACATTGCCTGAACCTAACCTAACCGACGACTCACGAATAGAAAACGGGACATCACATCAATTTTGCGAGCCGCCATGATTATTAGAACATCAGTGATTGGCCTTAAAGAATATACGTCAAAATGAGATGTGCTATACAGCAGGAAATTAACATATGAATATTTTGCTTAATATGTTACTGAATATGACAGAGGGTTAGATCGATAATTCAATCACGAATCTTCTCAATATTTCATGTACTTCAAATATTCTGCATTTAAGAAGAAAGTTGAAAAATTAATTCTCCAAAAGTTCATTTATAATGTTATTATGGCTTAACGCTCCGAGATGCGGTTCGTTGACCCCTTGAGGTTATTTTGAGATGAGTTCGAGGCTTTTTTTAGTGTCCCCGCGTCCCGGTCCTCGACCAGGCCTTCACCCCTAGGAAGCAGCCCGTGACAGCTGACTAACACCCAGGTACCTATTTTACTGCTAGGTAACAGGGGCACAAGGTGAAAGAAACTCTGCCCATTGTTTCTTGCCGACGCCTGGGATCGAACCCAGGACCACATGATCACAAATCCAGCGTGCTGTCCGCTCGGCCGACTGGCTCCCCTAACAACATTTCAGGGGCAGAATAGAAGTGGATACGACTTAGCTGGTGCAACCGAATGTGTTATAGAGAGTGAGGTGAAGGTTCCTTATTTCTTATACTTCTTATAGTCGCTGGGGCAATACGGTGGATGGTGGCAGGTCTTGTCTGGAAGATGGTAGAATGTAACTGAGTTGTTGATAGCTGGCTGTTGATAGCTGGCTGTTGATAGCTGGCTGTTGATAGCTGGCTGTTGATAGCTGGCTGTTGATAGCTGGCTGAGATTGTTCAGCCCGTCCTCATAAACAAAGGCCAAAAGTCGCCTTTGCTCTCGACTCACATTTGGGGTTCGAATCCCCGGCGGAACAGGAATGATTGTGTGTGTTTCTTATCACCTAATCCCCTTGTTCACTTAGCAGTAAATAGGTACCTAGAAGTTAGCTTGTTGGGGGGGGGGACGCTGCATCCTGGGAGGGGGGGTCAGTAATTTTATCTTGGAGGGGGGACCTCAATATAAACCTAACAAGTATATATATACACTGGTTGCCTGTCCCCCGACACAGTTAATTATTATAATCCAATATTCATGCACAAAATCCTGTTCGTAATTAGTGTCTTTGTAAAAAAATACGATCACTTTATAATGTTTAGGTAAACCGTATTTTTTGTTATTAACAAGCTTATGTGTATAACATGACCATAACATGATCATATAACATACGTAGCGTATGATCGTGTATAACATGGGTATACAGAGCAATGTGCTGTTACCCTATTCTATAAGAAAGATTACACAGTATAGATAAAAAATTAGCTATAAGTTATCTAATGTTCCCATCTCACGGGATGGTTAGTCATACATGGAATCAGGAAGGGAAGGGAAGGGAACTATCAGGGAGAAAGCGCCAAGCCATTACAACTATATAGCACTGGGAAGGGGTCAGGATAAGCATTTGGGATGGGACGGGGTGAAGGAATGGTACCGAACCCCTTGGACGGTCGGGAATTGATCGCCGACCTGCAAGAAGCGAGACCGTCGCTCTACCGTCCGACCCAAGTGGTTGGACCATGGAATCAGGAGAGAATATGAAATGTTAGGCTGGTCTATTAACCTCCACTAGCAAAATCTAAAATAAAATTATTAATATTAATTTAAACCTCCCTCTCATTTAATAAATTCTGTCGCTTTCTCTGTATATTCAATGAAAGAAAACGAATGTGAGTGCTAAATTTGAGAGGTAACTAATTTGAATTTTTTTTAGGAGTTCTGAACTAGGAGTGGTGAAGCCGCGGAGCTGGTCGTTGACGTTGCTGCCTTCCTATCCTGCAGCAGTGTATCCTGCAAAGCTGCCTTCCTATCCTGCAGCAGTGTATCCTGCAAAGCTGCCTTCCTATCCTGCAGCAGTGTATCCTGCAAAGCTGCCTTCCTATCCTGCAGCAGTGTATCCTGCAAAGCTGCCTTCCTATCCTGCAGCAGTGTATCCTGCAAAGCTACCTTCCTATCCTGCAGCAGTGTATCCTGCAAAGCTGCCTTCCTATCCTGCAGCAGTGTATCCTGCAAAGCTGCCTTCCTATCCTGCAGCAGTGTATCCTGCAAAGCTGCCTTTCTATCCTGCAGCAGTGTATCCTGCAAAGCTGCCTTCCTATGCCTTCCTATCCTGCAGCAGTGTATCCTTCAAAGCTGCCTCCTTCAGCAATGCCTCCTTTAGCAGTGTCTCCAGCAGTGCCTCCACCAGCAGTATCCCCCAGCAGCAGTGCTTCGTTTAGCAGCGTCTCCTACAACAGTTTCCTCTGCAACAGTGTCTCTTGCAACAGCGTCTCCTGCAGCAGTATCTCCTGCAGCAGAGTCTCCTACAGCAGTGTATCCTGCAACAGAGTCTCCTACAGCAGTGTCTCCTGCAACAGAGCCTCCTATAGCAGTGTCTCCTGCAACAGGGTTTCCTGCAGCAGTGTCTCCTGCAGCAGAGTCTCCTACAGCAGTGTATCCTGCAACAGAGTCTCCTACAGCAGTGTCTCCTGCAACAGGGTCTCCTACAGCAGTGTATCCTGCAACAGAGTCTCCTACAGCAGTGTCTCCTGCAACAGGGTCTCCTGCAGCAGTGTCTCCTGCAACAGGGTCTCCTACAGCAGTGTCTCCTGCAACAGAGTCTCCTACAGCAGTGTATCCTGCAACAGAGTCTCCTACAGCAGTGTCTCCTGCAACAGAGTTTCCTGCAGCAGTGTCTCCTGCAACAGAGTCTCCTATAGCAGTGTATCCTGCAACAGTCTCCTACAGCAGTGTCTCCTGCAACAGAGTTTCCTACAGCAGTGTCTCCTGCAACAGAGTCTCCTACAGCAGTGTATCCTACAACAGAGTCTCCTACAGCAGTGTCTCCTGCAACAGGGTCTCCTACAGCAGTGTATCCTGCAACAGGGTCTCCTACAGCAGTGTCTCCTGCAACAGAGTCTCCTACAGCAGTGTCTCCTGCAACAGGGTCTCCTGCAGCAGTGTCTCCTGCAACAGAGTCTCCTACAGCAGTGTCTCCTGCAACAGGGTCTCCTACAGCAGTGTCTCCTGCAACAGAGTCTCCTACAGCAGTGTCTCCTGCAACAGAGTCTCCTACAGCAGTGTCTCCTGCAACAGGGTTTCCTGCAGCAGTGTATCCTGCAACAGAGTCTCCTTTAGCAGTGTCTCCTGCAACAGAGTCTCCTACAGCAGTGTCTCCTGCAACAGGGTTTCCTGCAGCAGTGTATCCTGCAACAGAGTCTCCTACAGCAGTGTCTCCTGCAACAGAGTCTCCTACAACTGTGTCTCCTGCAACAGGGTCTCCTACAGCAGTGTCTCCTGCAACAGAGTTTCCTACAGCAGTGTCTCCTGCAACAGAGTCTCCTACAGCAGTGTCTCCTGCAACAGGGTCTCCTCCAGCAGTATCTCCTGCAACAGGGTCTCCTGCAACAGTCTCCTGTAGCAATGTTTCCTTTAGCAGTGCCTCCTGCAGTGGTGCCTTCTGCATCAGCAGTACTTCCTTCAGCAGAATTACGTCTTTCAGGAATACCTTTTTTTATGTACAAGAGTTGTTACATTCTTGTGCAGCCACTGCCACGCATAGCGTTTCGAGCAAGTCCTTAATCCTAATTTTCCCCGGAACACTACCCACCAAATCGTTTAACAACCAGGTACCCATTCACCGCTGGGTGAACAGAGGATTTAAGGATTGACGCCCAGTCAATCCTCCCCGGCCAGGATACGAACCCAGGCCAAAACGCTCCACCACTTCGCCACGGGGACTGCTAATAGGATGATGTATATTGGCGATTTATCATATCTTCTGACAACTATTTCTTTGTTTTCACGAAGCGCCTTAGCTGCCGCTCGAAGCTCAGGAGACAGTGTGGTGCTGCTCTAGTTGCCAATAGTTGCCCTATAGAAGAGGTGCTTCTGTAGTTACCACCACACCGCTCCTGTGCCAGGTAAGTTCACTATGGGCTCACCATAGCCTGTGCTACTTGCCCCGCTCCTGTGCCAGGTAAGTTACGGGCTCACCATAGCCCATGCTACTTGGAACTTGTTCCGAGTAGCTGAATCTATAACAACAACAACAGTTACTATCAGTCTTTCCTCCCTCCGTTAGAGGTTCATCTTACAACGTATCCTTGTTGGTGACCTTCTCTATTTATCTGTGCATCTAGCACCCTCTATCTCTGCCTAGCTACGTTTTTAGCTATCTGTTTATTTTTCTTTATCTATAAAACTATCTATCTAGCTATTTCTATCTCCCCACCCCCCCACTTCGTCCCCCGCCAGTTCCCTCTTCCCCCTCACCCCCTCCCGGGAAGTAATATACACCGCTTTACACTCCACGGTCAAGTCCTCAATAATAACACAAGGCTCTCGTCACCATAATGAAACATTTACGGAGCGCTTGTATAGCCGAAGGTAATTAGCGAGGCAGTCATCGCGTTACACTGAGCAAATAACTTATATAAGCAGAAAAGTTGCTTTATATTCTTGGTACGAGAGTTGTGTCAACAGCTGGACGACGGTGCCAAGCCCGCGCGAGTCCCTTGACAACATCAGCTGATTACGTCAACATTGGATCTGTCTAGTGTGGCTGGTGAGATTTACCAGAAATTGTTTGAGGATGTAGCTATCCAGATTACTGTGTATCACCGTAAATGGTTGTATTTTAATACTTCATACAAGTAGGGTCAGTCATTCAGGATACTGGAGGCGCTAGGCTCTCGACCCTTAGCATTTATAAAGTCACACCTTTCAAGTGTTAATTGTCAATGTGGTCACGGGTTGCAGAGGTCAGGTCGCGTCAGATGACCTCGTTCTTTGCTATGTTGATAATTGCAGATGGGTGGCTGTGTCCTTCCCATCAAACAAGCCGCTGTCTAGGTGTGGTAGGAAGATAGTCAGAGGCAATTCTCCTGGTAAGAGGTTTAGCTCCCGGTCTCCTCTTAAATACCCGTGGAACTGTACATTTCACATACAGACATTATAGATACAGACAGGGAGAGAGAGAGGAGCCTCGTTAAGTCTATAGCTTCTTTACTGTGAGCTTAGCCCTTCTATTCACCACGTTCCAGTTATCCAGATTGGTTTTCCACAGAGCAAATTGAAAGGTATCTGAGGGACCTAACCTAACCTGACCTAACCTGATCTGACCTAACCTAATCTAGCCTGACCTAACCTGACCTGACCTGACCTGACCTAACATAATAATGAATTCAACAGTAAATATTTGGTCGAACATTGAAAAAATTAACTGTTGCAGCCGGCAATGCTCACTTCTGTACTGTTAATTTTGTAGAGGGAATCGCCAATCATCGCACGGAAAGGAGTGTTCGAAAAGGCAAAAAAAATAATCCAAATTTAAGCTTTCCTAGACCTATTATGGTTCATGTATGTAATATATTAGGTCTAAGATATCGTATATGAGGTTTTGGATTGCTTGGACAGCCTAGGTTAGTTTAGGAGAGGTTAGGATAGGCAGGCGATGAGTCACAATAACGTGGCTAAAGTATGTTGACTAGACCACACACTAGAAGGTGAAAGGACGACGACGTTTCGGTCCGTCCTGGACCATTCTCACAATCGACTTGAGAATGGTCCAGGACGGACCGAAACGTCGTCGTCCCTTCACCTTCTAGTGTGTGGTCTGGTCAACAGGTTAGGATAGGTTAAGTTAGGTCTTTCCATTACCTTTCCATTTTCTTGATATTCATTTGGGCTAATTCATTAATGCATAACGTGAACATCTTTAGTCCAACAGGCCATTTTCATAGGACCAACCAGTCCTCTTAGAAAGAACGTCGTTTTTGGCCGTTTGCCAGTATGGCCGAATTTGGACGTAATTTGAAGATGAAAAAAAAAGGAAACTAAATTTGGGATTTTTTTTCGACAACAGTAAGTTAAGGGTCCTCGGATAGGTTAGGTGGGCAGGAAATTCTCATAAAGTTTCAAAACGTTAATGGAAAGTTTCCTCATCTAAGCTTGCTGAGTAAGCCGGACGTCTCAAACAGAAAACGGAACAGTACGTCACTTTTGTGAGTCGATTTCATTTCAAATTACGTCCAAATTTGGCCATAGTGCGCATACGAGCGAAAAGTGACGTTATTTTTAAGAGGACGGGTTGATGAACAGATAATTGGTATAAGCACTCTCATTACTGGATGATGGGCTGCCTTCTGCCTCTCATCTGGGTCGTGTTTTTGCTCACACACACACTTGCATATACTTCCCTCAGCTGCACACACACGCACACTTAAGGGAACACCGGACCTCCTTTCTCAATCCTTCCATCCCAGACTTTTCCGGAAAACTGTTTGCCCCCCCAAAAAAATCAAAGGAAACGCAGTATCAGTCTCGTCCCAAGAACTTTAATAATTAATCTATTCGATCTGTACAACGCGAACGTTTTATGCGTCAAACTGAACAATTCTATTTATTGAGTTTATCACGTTCTCTGTGGTATTATGGCATCGCGACGGAGGTAAATATTCTGGCCACATTCTGTGATCAAATCGTCCAAGTATGAGTTTTTTTGGTCGGTGACCACAAGCATGTATATGTAAAATATTATATTGTGAGATGTATATTACGTAAGATGTAAATTGCGTGAAAATAGAATATG